CCTCCAACTGGCTGGACAAATTCCTCGAGCACCTGCCCATCCTGACGTCTACCATACTCCTCTGGTCGGCGCCACCTCATCTCGATGCTTTCACAAAACATCTGTCGGCTGACAAATAAAGCCTTTCCACCGACTGTAGAGCTAGTGCGTTCACATGAGCTTGCAGGTGGGTATCTGCTGACCCACCAGGCGCTGTGACACCGTCGATTTCCTTCACAACTTTTCCACCGGATCGCCAAAAATGTATAATAGTTACTAAATTTGATTGACACCAAGCACCTGTTGTGGGGAAACCTGACATCCCACTGCGTCCACATCCAGTTGAGGAGCGAAAAATATCTGCATCAAACCATGGGGGCTGCCAGCTGCACGGCTTCTTTCAAGGTTCGTAGTGAGACCCTCAGCTACAAAACTTATTCGAGCTGAGTTATTTAGTTTGTTTAAAAAGAACTCTGGCCGGCCTCTTGCGCTTTCTTTACAGTTCCTTACATGAGGGGAAGTGCCATGTAGGGTGAGCATAGCTGTTCCCTATAAGCACTCCCGGCTCTCACAGCTAGGTGCGTAGAGCATCTACCGCATATGCACACAGCTTTGTGCCCTGTATTGTGGGGCTGGCAGGAACACTGCAACTAATGATATACGGACAGACATACCACCTCGTTAGCTCCTTAGTAATTCTTACTACTTCAACTATTGTAATACAAAGTCCCTGGGTTTACGTCAGCCTTCTAGGGCTGGGGTCCCATAGCACATCATCTGGCGATGCAGTCAATACCTGTACCCCGCGTGTTTCTCATCACCATTTCACAGCCTGCAAAGTGTGGCACGAAAGAAGCTTTATGAATTAAATTTTATGTGGGGGGTCCTAAAGAAGGTCTTTTAATCCTGTCGGACTGGCTATTCAAGTTGCGTGCCCCCGTACGAACCAGACATTCCAGTGCGTGTGCTGGTGTCAACGAAAGCACATAAGGGAACGTTCACGCACACAAGAGGGGTAGTGATGCACTGAAGGCGGAATAAAGAGCCCAGGGAAGTCCCCGCTGCCCTTCCATCTGTGGATAGAGCACGTAAGACTTTCTCGTTCCTGTGCAGGATAGCTGCAAGTACTCATGAATAAAGAACAGAAACACAATAGGAAACGACGAAACAGCTAAATTCGCTCTATAAGTCCTTCTAAAGTGAAGGGTGCTTTAAAGATTATATTTTGTACAGCTGAGGAAGGCAATGGTTACCTTTGGTGTACCGACCCTGGTTGCATCCTTGAGGCCGATGAATTCCATCTAACATAAGCCATTGACCCTAATGCCAGAGCCTGAATCCTAGATCTCTATGCCGTTTGCCTAGAATTACCTTTTTGATTCAGCAGAGAGCAAGGCATAAGCATCCAGGGTTGGGCGTAGGCCCCAGGTCACCTCACTGTTACTGCCGGTCCTTTCGCTCCACTGCTGTGCAATCTCTAAGCCAAATCCCGTGCCTTTAGATCAAAGAATCCCCTTTTCCTGCTAAAACCTCTTTTGATTTCATTTCGGCTTTGCTTCTTCTTCTTTTCACAAAGGCTGCTCTCGTGCTTGACGGCAGCAGTTCCGCTAAAGTCAGGAGACGGAGACAACCGAGCTTAGGGATTTCGGGCAAATTACTTCCTTCTTTTAGACTTAGCGGCACCTCACCAATTCCAGCTGGATCTTGTACCTCCACGGCTCCATGGCTAATAGTTTAAGGATTTTAGGCACAGAATTTCGGGTTTCAAGATATGAGTAATTGCCGCCGTCCGGCCTATTAGAGGGCTTCCCTGTGCACCACTGGCCCCTTCTGTTGCTTTGAGGGGTACGTTCACCTCTGAAGTCTGCTAACTGGGTCCCAAGAGATGGATAGAGGCGCCAGCAGGGGCCCTGGATAGCGACGTAAGGCCCCCTGCAACGGAAGGCGACTTTGCCACAGGCGGAAGTTCAGAGTTTAGGATCGGAAAGCACGATGAGCTGGTGCTGGTTGTTTCTGGGGGCTCTGGCCCTCTTTGCTGGCTCCCTAGCTGCAGGAGCTCCCCAAGTGCCAACGGTGAGTAACTTCCTTTGAAGCACATTTCCCTCCCCAATTCCCTTTTGTGCGTTTCATGCCACTAACACGACCGCAATGTTCCGCTGCCTGCAGGGAGCCGACTTACTTGGTGGCTTGATTCCTGCTTCTCTAATGAGGGCTCCCACTACAGACCAGGGTGCACCCTCCGTGAATCTTTTTGGGCCTCCTGCTAGCCCACCAGGAGCAGCCCTGCTGGTGCAGCCTTCAAGCGCGACGGACTTGCTGCAACAGGCTGCAGATACCGCTCAGCGCATAGCTAAGGGACTGTCCCTTCCGCTAGGATCCCCCTTGGGTGCCCCCCCAGAACGGCCGCCTGATACTGGTGAGGCCGACGAGGGCCCAACAAATGCTGGCCCTCCCATCAGCACCCGCCCAATGAGCTTCCTGTACAACGATGACGAAGTGGAAGAAGATGCAGCAGATGAAGAACCTGATGAAGGCCTTGTCCCTGCTGTTGCCGATGCAGTAGAAGCAGCACCTGGGCGCAATACGGGTACAGCACAGCGAGCCTCCTGGGTTGATAGGAGCTGGTTGGATTCTCCGGCTTCCGCAGCTTCCGCTGTCACTACAGAAGAAGAGCAGAGTCCAGAAGAGGCACAGATGCCAGCTGTAGAGGAACCAGTCCAAAGCTGCTCCTTAGTAGAGGCAGCAACCGCAACGGAAGCGCTCTCCTGCCAAGTACAGCAACTGGGAAGGTCATTATCCCTGAAAGAGGTAACGGCAGCTCGAGAGGCTCTCCTCACCGCAGCTGAGTCCTTCCCCACTTTGGCAGCAGGGCACCTTGAGGCAGCCAAACACCGCATGCAGCAAGCAGTTGCCAGCTGGCGAGATATCGGCAACAGCCAAGAGGAACAGCAACAACAGCAACCAGCCACGACGGATGGAGAAACCGCGGAGAAGCAATTCGACTCGGTCTCCTTTATGGCTCGCGCGGTGCATCAAGCGCAGCAACGCATGCAAGGCCTCCGTGCTGCGGTGCTGGCCGACAGCAGCAGTCGGAGCCGAGGAGACAGCGGCAGTAAAAACGGAGCGACGCCTCTAGCCGTGAAAACTGGGTGGTGGGAAGCAACTGGCCTTCCTATTAGCAGGGCGGATCTGCACAGGAGGGTCTGCGGCGTGTTTAGCCAGAAGCTGCCTAGCAGCATCAACCAACTGCTGCAGGCAGTTCGTATTTCATTGGAGCAACAGCAGCAGCCACAAAAATGGGGGCCAGCCAACGATGCTGAAGAGGAGCTAGAAGGCAGGGTTCTAGGCGCTCTCCTAACATCTTTGAAAGCAGGCAACTTTGCTGCTGCACACCGACCCTGGGCTCAGCAGCTGCGAGAGCAAGTTGTTGCCTACTATCACTACCAGCAGCAGCAGCAGCAACCGAGAGGATCAAAGCACCTGCACACTAGTGAGGACTCCCTCGCATCGGCGGGAGCTTTAATAGACGGTCTCTTCTCGCGCCGCCGCCTTCAAGAAGCACTGTCTTCCTCAGAACCCTTCGTTTTGGAAAATCCTCCCCTAGAAAGTCTCCATGGGAGTGCCCTAGAAAGTCCGTGGTTTCCACAGCTTCTACTACATGTTGCACGGGGAGACAGCGCATATGATATCTTCCTCCTGGATCCAAAGGGCTCCCGTACTTTCTCGTCTGCTGCAGCATCTCTCTTGATGACAATAGCTGCTGTCCCTAGTGCTGCACCTCCAGAGCAGCAAGAGGCGGCTGCTGCTTCGCTGCAGCAGCCACTACTGCCGCAGAGCACTTCCAAAGGGGGGGAGCTGCGGCTTCCGTTAATCAGCACGTCAAGTCAACTGGCCGCAGAGAAGAGTTTCAGTGCGCTTATAGAGAAACGTCCGCCGCTGCTGCAAGAGGCCTTAGAGGTATCCAGCTGGTGGAAAAACGGCGAGCAGACACTCGCTGCTGCTGCGCTTGCCACCAGTGCCAGAGAAGACGTCACGGGAGGGCTCCCTACTCGTAGGGAGACAGCAACGACTGCGGCGTTTCTGCCACCCAGGGGGAGTAAAGTCGTGGAGGCCGTGGTGTCAGCCCTAAGGCCAGAGGAACGGGATGGGGCCTTTGCGATGCTGCAGCAGGCTACACAGCAACAGCAGCAGTGGGCCTTTGTTGCAGTGTCACTTCATCCTGAAAAGGTCCGGGGGGTTTCCGACGTTTTGAGGGTGCTGAGGAAAGCAGGGGAGTTTGCTGCTGCGGAGGCCGCAGGGGATGCAGAACAGCAGGAGCAACAACAAATTGTGGAGGAGCTTCTGAAGCTCTTTCACGGCGACACCAGCAGCAGCCGCAACGGTCTGCCTCCAATCGCAGTGTATGCGGAACTTGTGGTTAGGGACACCAAAGGAGACATTGTCTTCGGACCAGCAGAAATGCTCTGTCCGCATACAACGGTCCCCTTCACCCTCATTCGGCTGCAACAGCAGCAACGTGAGCAGCATCAACTGCAACAGCAGCAGCAAGCAAGACGGCTTACGGCAGCAGGGCAGCAGGAGCCGTATAATCCAGAGATTCAGGGAGAACTGCTCTCCTCCTCAGAAGACGTTGCTCCACGAAATAGCATATTGACGCCATCAGCGATGCCAAATGCGACTTTTGTTTCGTCGCAAGAAAAAAATTCTAGAGAGAGTCCCCTGAGCTCCCCCTGGGAGCCCTTGATGTTTGAAGTGACTATAAAGACGGCGGATGGGGTCCTTCTTGCTGGGGATGATATGCGATCGCTTTTCTACAGGTCATTTGGAAAGGCCCCAGTATCTCAGCAGCAGGAATGGCAACATCAGCAACAGCAGCAGGAAACAGCGTTGTCTCCTTCTTTCGAGATGCGCAATGCCAGGGAAATCCTAGGACACCTCATTCCCGAAGGAACGGAAGGAGACCTAAACAAAGACTGCCTAGTAAATTGAGATGCTGGTATTGCGGCTGCTGTTGCTGTTGCTGCTGTTGCTCTTACTGCTGTTGCCGTTGCTGTTGTTGGTGTTGTGGTTGCTGTTGGTTCTTGACTGGGCTTATGTGCGTGCGGTCTACGTGCCATGATGTCTGCGCAGGGGTCTCCTTATTTGCTGCTCTTGCGGGTGGCAGGGCCACTCCCTGCACTCGCAGCGGCAGCAAGTGAGGCAGCAGCAGCAGGTGGAGGGGCAATAGCACAAGCAGCGGCAGTCGAGGCGCGTGAAGCGGAGCTGGCATTCATAGTGGGGTCGATCGCCAGTACTGTCCAAGTGCCCCTGCACGCTGTGCAGCTCTGCGCAGTCAAACGGGACTTAAGACGCCTTGCATTTAGGTGAGGATTCAGGGTGGAGGGTTAGCAGACTGCTTTTTTGGCAGTTGCATTAGGGTCACTTCTTCAAGCAGGGTTGTGGCATTTCGGGCCTGCGTGCAGAATTAAGGCTTTGGAGTTTGAAGACCCCGTCATAGGGGCCGCTACTTGGCGTCGAGCCCTCTTGAACGCTGGGGCCCCTATCCACAAGGCCCTGCTGGTGGACCTCACCCACCCCCCTGCAATAACCAGGAAACAGCAGCAGCAGTATTCGGCACAGGACGACCTTCTCACGCATTTTTTCGCAGCACCAGATTTGGGCCCTTTGGGTGGACGGAGGGCCCCCGAGAGGGTCGAGGGTAAGCGGCAGCCTGCGGAGGAAGACGGGAACTCCAAGCGCCACCAGCAGAAAGCAGCTACATGGGTTTGGCTACTGGTGGGGGTTGGGGGGGCCCTGTTGTTTGCTGTAGGAGCAGTAACCGCCTTCCTGGCATACCAGGTGTTTCAGCGGCGGGACGCAGCAAAGGAAGCAGCAGACGCAGATGCGCGTACTGCCTCGCAGTGGGAAGCCACGGGGGGACCTCAATCCAGCGAGAGGCAGCACCAAGAGACCCCCGTCGAGCCTTCGTTAAATCACTCACAGGGGGGTCGCTCTTAGAGAAGGGCACCCGCAGAGGCGGATGCTCAAGCTAAAGAGAAACCTCAAGATGCCTCGTAGTTTCGTCTCAATCTATCTCCAAGCCCCTGACCGTTTCCCCTATCCCTCACTTCATCCAGAAGGCCGTCAAAATGCAGCAGCAGTAGGATGAAGGCACACAGAGCGAACATGCAAGCGAAATCAAACCACGAAGACGATACAAGACAAGGGGCGGGCAGACATTGGTGTAGGAATAGACCAAAACGGAGCACAAATATCTTCCTCAGCCCCACTAGTGAAGGGGGGAGGAGGAAGGGGAAGAGGCCAATCGACATGCAGGGGCCCCGCTGCTGTATAGGAACTCGATCCCTTGCCGTCAGCTACCTGCCTAGTCTGTACACATTGCTGGCCTCTAAACCGTTCACCACAATGGCTGCCAACAACTCTCCTGCTATGCCTATGCAGTTTTAAAAAGCATGAGTCACGGCAAAGTATTTGCGCTCCCTAAAGGGGTAGCTATTCAGCTAGGTGCCAGCCACAAAACCGGCGCACCCAGTCTGCTAGTTCCCTATACAGTGTGCATTGCTAGCCAAAAGGACTGTACAGCTAGCCAAGCAAAAGAAGTAAGCGACTCTTCGTGAGAGAGCCAGTCGGAAGAGACGGCCGAGCCTCCATTCGCAATACCACAGAAGGAGACGACCCTAGGGGTCAGCTGCAGAAGGGTTTTTTCCCAGATTAAGAGGAACAGACTGGGGCCCCCATGGGCCCCCTAAACCAAAAAGTATGACTATGCACACTGAGCTCCAGCAGGTGAGGTGAGGCGAGGTGCGTAAGCTAAAACGCTTCATGAGCAACACATCCAGGAGAGAGTGGCGCACTGCTTCGGCGGCATATGCAAGACGGCTTCACTGGGCTGCAACTCGCTGTACTCCTGCAGTCTGCCAGAGCGGTGATCGCGTGTGGTTCTCTCACGGTAGCCGACTGCTGAAGTCTGCGACTGCCGTCAGCTCTGCAGCTTGAGTTTTGCTGCAGCAGAGGAAGCCCACAAACAGAGACTCCACTAGTTGCACCAACGGCAGCATGCGCACACGCGAAAGCAACGGCTGTGTCAGCCTCAGTGCCTCGGCGTTCATTATGCGCGGACAAGGCACCTTGCATTCGTGAAGGTATAGACGTCGCCCTTCCGAAGAAGCACTTCATCATCTGCAGCAGCCCAGTGCAGCACAGAGCAATCCGCCTCCAGCTAGCATGCAACCCTCCTAAGCCTGCAAAGATCGTGAGCTTATCGGGACTGGTGCAACTGCGCACGCGATTGGCATCGGAGTGGCTCGGCCACGTCGCCACAGGAAAAGTGGAGGCAGTGGTCTTCGCAGCTCACGACAAAGCAGAGCTGAATGCACAAAAAGAAAGCGAAGTCACCGCCGTCAGCGGACCGGTACAGAAAATTTGCTAGCTCGGAAGCAGTGGAAGGGTCGTCTTTCGCCCCCAAGAGGCAGCGACACGCGCAATATATACATATACATATATATATATATATACATGTTCTTATATATATGTATATATGTATATACATGTCCTTATATACTTACATATATACATGTTTATACATATATATATACATATGGACATATTGGTTAGTGGTGGTAAGTGGGTGATGCGGGTTGGGGTAGGGTATGCCCTCTCACCAGCCGCTCTGCCTCTGCCCTTGCTGGACCGAATGAGGCTCCTGGCTGCAGCACCAGCCGGCCGAGTGAACTCAAAAAGCATCCGGACTCTAAACGGGCTATATTCAACAGTGATAGACAGAGACACACAACACACGCAACAAGCATATGTATGCATACGCACACGCACATACACCTACATACACAAATATCCATCCATCCATAAATATATATATATATTACAGACACATACATATATATAACATACATACATATATATAACATACATACATACATAACATACATACATATATATAACATACATACATATATATAACATACATACATATATATAACATACATACATACATATAACATACATACATACATAACATACATACATACATAACATGCATACATACATATATAACATACATACATATATATAACATACATACATATATATAACATACATACATACATAACATACATACATACATACATATAACATACATACATATATATAACATACATACATATATATAACATACATACATATATATAACATACATACATATATACATACATACATACATATATACATACATTACATACATACATACATACACATATATACAACACATACACCCACAAAAGTACATAGACACGAGGACGACATATCAAACTCTTTAAAGGCTCAAAAGTCTACGAGTATGCAAGCAGATGCGTACTGGATCTTTGAGCCCTACCCCTCACACGAGTAAAGCCCTACTCCTTACCGCACGTGATTCCATGAGCAACATTGTTCCTTTGTGCTTTTGCCTCCTTCGCAAGACGGCCGGGAGAAAAGACGCGTACCCCTGCAGCAAGCCCTCAACAAGCCAGCTCCCAGACACCCCATGAACCACGAAAAGGGCAAAGGCATGGGATGTGCTGCAGGAGCTAGCCAACGACAACACACACTGTACTGTAACCGTGAAAGGCCCCTTGCTCAGCAGCAGTCAAGCGACTCACAGCACCCCTGCACGTTGATAATATAGCTCACCTCCGCTTTTGCCGCTGCTGCTGCTCGCGTTTGGAGCCAAGGCAATGTCAAGCGTTCTGCCCATGGAAATTCCGGGAAGATCACTGCTACCGTTCCTACTGCAGGGTTTACCGCTCTTGCTGGCCTTCTTCTGTGGAGCCTTCTTCATCGAACTTACTGGCTTGCTGTCGCCGCTGCGCTTCCCCTTTTCTCCCGACGCTGCTTCACCTTCCTCTTCATGCGCATCCCGCTGATGGCCCTTGCTTTGATGCTGGAGTTCGCTCTCGCTGCCATAAGGAGACTCTTCTTCGTGCTCGTCCTCCTCCACCTCCTGCTCTTGCTGCTGCCGTTGCTGCCTTCGGTGTCTGCGCTGCTGCGGCTGATAACGGTGGCCAACTGCTGCTGTGTGCTCGGCGGGGGTCGCCGACGACGCGACAGCAGCTGCAGCGGGAGCAGCAGTATCGAGCTGCTGTTGCTGAAAAACTTTGCTGCTGCCCTTCACTGGGGAAGGCAGCTCCGCTCCCTTGAACGCCGCTGACAGAAATGCGACACTTCGAGGCCGAGCTCCCAGTGTGGGTAGGCGTGAAGCACGGCCCGCCATTGCCGCTGCCTTTTTCTGTGTTTGTTTCTTGAAGGGCTGCCGCGTGTGCGGGTATCTCTTTTGCTGCACAGCAGGCAGCGAGATTTCCCGAGCAATCGCCCACCTTACTCAGGATATACGTCGGTGCTGCAGGTAATCGTACAGCGGCAGACTCGGAGGCTACCTCAGTGCCCTTTAGCGAGTCTGTCTTCCCAAGTTGTGGGTTCAACGAGGGCCGCTGCAGTTCCGCTGTAGCCGCAGCTCCTACAGCTGTGCCATGAAGCAGTGCAGCAACGGCGGCAACAGCGGGCAAAGGAGAGTCAGCAGCAGCAGCTGCTGCTGCTGGACTGTCACTGGCTGCATGCACGTTGACTACCAGTCGGCGCAGTACCGAAGCAGCCGAGACGTTCCGACGGACTGTACGTACATCGGCAGCAGCGCCCAAGAGGAGGGGTACAGAGCTCTAGCACCGTAGCAGGCACGAGAAGTTTATCCCGCTAGTCCGCAATTTTATCCTAGTTGCGGCGTTGCGTTACTCGTCTTCTTTAGACGAGGAAAGCACCAGCAGCAGCAGCTGCTGCAGGGGGCAGCGGGGAGGCCCCCCGTGGCTGCTGTGCCGGCTGCTGCCGCTGCTCCTGCTGTTGCGCAGGTCTTGCGTTGCAGTCTAATGTTGCTTGCTTTTAACGTATTTCGGCTGCTGTTCTTTCTTCCTTGCTGCTGCTGCTGCAGCATTCCTGTGGCGGGGGATTGGCTGCCGTTGCTGCTGCAGTGGGGTGTGGTCCTCCGCATCAGCTTCTGCAGCAGCAGCTCCTTTGCTTTTCTGCCCCTGCTAATTTTTGCGACTCCTGCCGCCAAATTGCGGCTCTGTTGCTGCTAATCGCTGCAGCCAGGAGGTTCGCTCTTCGCGAGCCGCAGCAGCACCGGCCCTCAAAACAGCAGGCTGCCAGGGGCCCCCTCCCGAGCATTTCTGGCTGCACTGGCGCGTGGGCGTGGGAAGGGGCCACAGGAGTGCCCATCCGGCGTTAGTAGGCCCTTACCTCGATATACACCGCCAGCTGCTGCGGCAGCAGCAGCTGCTGCTGCTGCCGGCATTTAGACTGCAGGAGCAGCTCCGGGGAGGGGCTGTAGGATCAGGTCCACCGCTGCGTGCAGTCGTGGCAGGCGAGCAACCGACCACGCATGCGCGGATTTGGAGCTTCTCGCCAAGGCAGCTCAACAGAAAGAGGAAAAGGCACTCTTGGAGGGGTCCCGCAGTTGGTGCTCTTCTGCCTTGCCTGCTTTGAAGCACCCTGAACACGTCAAAACAGCGATAGATACGCGATCCATGCACTATTAGGACGTTGGATGCATCCAAGAGGCGCCAGCGTGTGTCTGCGTTCGTGTTTGTGAGAGCGATAGAGGGAGAAACGGACAGACATTAAGAGAGCGGGAGACAGAGAGAGAGAGAAAGAAAGACACCCGAAAGAACCCGCCATTTCATCATTTTGTTGCAAACGGCAGCATATTGCGCTTTTACAGCATAGGTCGACGACGCTTTATACAGAGAATACGTGAAGAGGCGTCTCGTTCCCGGGTTGTACAGTCGCCTTCTCGGCTGCAAGGCATCTGGAATTGGACTGGGGTGTATTTGTCGCTTTCTTTTGCCTCCTCCTCGGCAGCAGCCTGAGCCACCCTGCAGCAAGAACTCCGGGATCCTCCGTGCATGCGTGTGTAGTGTGGAGTTGATTTCACGAAAGATGCGGGTGCATCTGTCCTCAGACGAAGTTAACGTGCTCCTGCATCGTTACTTGTTAGAGAATGGGTATGTGCATTCCGCCTTTGCATTTCAGTCGGAGGCTGCAATGCACAAGAATCCTTTCTGGATATCTCATCAAGACAAGGTGCCCCCTAACGCCCTTGTTTCCTTCTTGCAGAAGGCACTTCTTTTCATCTATCTGGAGTATCACACAGATGGAGAAACGGGTGACGGCATTCTGTGCGAAGAACCCTTTAGTCTTTTTAGGAAGCACGAATGCTGGTTTAGAGAGGAGGCTCACACAGACGCCGCTGCTGCTGCTGCTGCGTGTGCGAGCTCCGTGGAGGGCACCGCAGTCGCTGCCGCTGTAGCTGCAGCCGTTCCGGGATCTACAGGGGCTGCTGCCACTACCGCAGCACCGGCTACGCCGAAGGGGCAGCAGCAGCAGCAGCAGCAGCTGCAAGGTAGTGGAGGGGGGCCCTCTCTCATGCGGAGGGGCAGCGCGGCGAGTTTGGACTTGAATCAGCAGCAGGGAGCAGCAGCAGCAACAACAACGCCGGAAGGGAATGGAGGTTCTCAAGGGGCCAGGGGGGGGGGCCCCCAGGGGCCTCTCGGGAACGGAGGATCTCACGAAGGGTTGATGGTGGAGGGGTCGATGGATGAGGCTTATGCTGCGGCTATCCGGTGCAAGCGTGGAGGCTGTAAAAGCTCGCGTGGAAAAAAGCGCGTTGTAAGCGGCTGCTGCTGAGATGGCTGGCTTTGTGCCTTTTTCCCTTTGGCGCAGGATTTGTGTGTGCTCTTTAGAATCGAGTAGTTGTTGCACACTGCACTCGCGGGCGCTGCCTCTGTTCTCGGGGGGTGGGAGAGAAGGGGGCAGAAAAGGGGAAGGAGAAGGCACGGGCTAGGCGGGATTGTCTCCTCTCTCACCGGCGGCTTACGCTGAGACTGGAGGGTCTTGTTCTTGCGTTTTTGGCTTGCCTGCGCGCATTTTGTGGGGCGCTCGTGCTGCTGTTTGCGCCACGTGCTGCAGCGGTTGGGGAGCAAGGCAGCCCAGCTGCCGCTGCCAGCGGTGTGTGTAGCCTGGGAAGGAGGGGCGGCTGAGGGGGACGAGTCGGTGTTGCTGCAAGAGGGCCCCGATGACGCATCGGGGGATCGGAGTGCTGCCGGAATGGATCCGCATGCAGCAGCTGCCGCGACAGCGGCGGGAGACTGCGCAGGCAGCAGCGGCGGAGGAGGTCAAGACGCATCGGAGGCAGCGTTGAAGGAGGAAGAAGAAGCGGTAAGCACCGAGACTTCGGCAGCAACTGCAGCAGCAGCAGCTTCGCCGGAAGACGAGGATACGATCTTCGTGGGGCCCCCTCAGCACGCAATAGAGGATCGCGTGGCGTTGAAAGACTGGCTGCGACTCGTAGAGCATTCGGATGTTGGCGAGGCGGGTGCTCTCAGCGAATGGAGTCCAGCGGATCCTGAGCTTATTGTGACCAAGTGCGTGAGGCTGCGCGTGCCGCTGCAACTGCTTTCTTCTGTTTGTGCGTTTCCGAGTGTCTCCCTTTGGCAGCCAGAGGACTTCGCAGATGCACGCGCTGCAGAAGGAAGGGCTGCCTTTTGGCTGGGCTGTTTGTGCGCGTCGATGCAGCTTCGCAGTCGGCCCCCCTCGCCTGTACCGCGTTCCTCTGTCTTTTGAGGGGCACTCCTTGGTGGCGCCTCATAGAGAGCTCTTGGGGCCCCCCATCGCCTCTGGAGCCGTCAACCCAGGATCGTCTGCTCACTGGAGAGTGAGGCTCGTTGCGTGCGCTCCAATTGCGCTGCTGTCTTCGTATTCGTGCGTGAAAAGGGGAACGGGCGTCAGGCGGCCCCTGCGTGTGCCGCCGCCGAAACTTACAGCCATAATCCGATGCGGTGCTGCCGCTGTTGCGTCTCAGCCGGACGGTCGTCTCCTCGCAACGGGCTATGAGTCTGGCCATGTCAGTGTTTGGAGCCAAGACGGAGCGCTGCTGGCTTCGCTGCGGGCGAGCGAAACTTCCGTCATATGCTTGGGATTTTCTGTTTCTGGCACGCGACTTGCCGCTGCCTGTGCCGACGGGCAGGTCGTTGTGTGGAGTGTTTGTCCTCCACCGACGCGTGCGAGCGCTTCCGGCTCTTCTGCCCCAATCAAAGCCAGCAGTGCCGCCAATTCAGACGTTGCAGAAGCCAGTCTGGCTTGGGGAGACGGCTGCGAAGGGGAAGGGCAGCACCAGCAACAGAAAGGGGAACGCTGGACCTTCCAGCCGTGTCTCTCCTACACTCACACAAGTGAGGACGCTAAGCGCCTTTTTTTCATGAGCCTTCAGCGTTCGTGCTGCGGCTGCTGGCGTATTTACTGGCTGCTTCCTGGAGTGCTTGCTTGCCAGCCTTGGAGGACCTCTGCTGTTGCGTTTTTCGCTGACCTCTTCAGAGGGAGGGCTGCGCGCACTCATACTGCCTGATGCTTTTCACCATACGTCTCGTTGCTAGTGTCTTGCGTCTCGTTGCTAGTGTCTTGCGTCTCGTTGCTAGTGTCTTACGTCTCGTTGCTTGTGTCTTGCGTCTCGTTGCTTGTGTCTCACGTCTCGTTGCTAGTGTCTTGCGTCTCGTTGCTAGTGTCTTGCGTCTCGTTGCTAGTGTCTCACGTCTCGTTGCTAGTGTCTTACGTCTCGTTGCTTGTTTTGATTTTTCTTGCTTGCTTGGGCTTCGAGAGCCTGTTGTCCTTTCTTTCCTTCATTTTCTCCTCCTCCTTTCTTTCCTTCATTTTCTCCTCCTCCTTTCTTTCCTTCATTTTCTCCTCCTCCTTTCTTTCATCCATTTTCTCCTCCTCCTTTCTTTCATCCTTTTCCTGCGAGCGTTTGTCTTTGTGACCCGTCCCTCGTGGCGTGTTGTTTGCACCCTTTTTTGCGAGGCTGCGCAGCGCTTGATGATGCGATTTTTTGTTTTATGGAAATGGACTGCTCTTGCAGGCGGAGTAATCGATTTGGATTGGAGCGGCGATCGTCTCCTCGCTTCTGGCGCGATTGACGGCGCTGTGATAGTCGTTGATGTAGAAGACGGCACAGAAATACGGGTGCCCCGAGGCTTGGGCGCAGCAGCAGCAGCAGCATCCTTCAAGTGCGATGCGGACGAGACGGCAGCGGCTGCCGCGGCTCCGTCTTGCGGTGCTGTTGCTGAGGTTACTTCCGGTTCTGCCTCTGCTGCTGCTGCAACGGAGAAGCAGGAGCTGGCTGGAGAGGACGTGGCAGCAAAGGAGTCCGCGTCAGCAGCAGCAGAAGTTGCCACTCTGCGCTGGAACGCGGCAGGAAAACTCCTCGCCATCGTAGACTCCTCCTCTGTCGTCGAGGTTAGCTAAGAAGCTGACTGCACCAGCCACGCTTGCAACGATCCCCTTAATCATTCCCCCGCTTCTCTTGCTGATGGTCCTGCTGTTGTTTCTCCCTAAAACGCCGTCCGTTGAGAGGAAGCTTCCGCGATTCTTTCTCTGTACGGGTCTGCTGCGTATTTACATAGGGGGATGTTTTCGTACCTTTCTGTCCAGCGTTTCGCTTATACGGGGTTTGCGCTGCTCCTTCGGGTGTGTTTTGTTGCTGCTTGTGGCAGGTGTGGGACCTGAGTCGCCCTGAATGCCAGCCAGTAGCGTTGCGAGCTCACAGCGAGGCGATCATAAAGGCGGACTGGCGCAATGGGGGTCCACACGACGACCTTGAGCTTCTATTGACGTGCGTTGTGTCGATTACCCCGAGAGCCTCTGTGGCGTGTGCTTTCTCGAGAGTCCATTGTGGCTCTGTCTGTTTGCGTATTTTCATGCGGCGCGGCTTTGCACGTAGCACTGCATGCATGCTCTGCTTCCGCCGTGCTGGTGACGACCTACCTTGAGCCTTTTGGAGTGCTCTTGTCGATATGTTCCTGCTGCTTGACTCCTTCTTTTGGTGCCTCCACTGCACGCATCCGTCGCCGAATCTCCGGAGCCTCTCAGTCCGAGCAAGAAGGCGAACCCACGTTTTCTTCCTGTGTCTTTTCAGCGTGGCGATGGATCGGCAGCTGTTGCTGTGGAGCACGCGGCAGCTCGAGGCTCCAATGAAGCGCCTTGTCTACGAGTACGTCAGTAGAGGCTTAGCGTCGTTGAGAGTATGGCGCAGGTGTCCTCACACCTCATCCCTGCGTGCCTCAACAGCTCTTGGGCAGCAACCTGGGCTGGTCAGGAGCCTAGCCAGCAACTCGCTTTTTGTTGCCGGCGAAGCTGCCTTCAGTGCATACCAGCTAGCTGCCCTATGAAGGCGCGTATCCACTAGGGGTGTGTGGAGAGCCGCCAGTGGTGTGATAGGGGGTAGCATAGGCTATTTGTTGAGATCTTGCAGCGGCAACAGCTTTCGTGGGCTTGCTGGGGAGCAGCACATCCCTCCGGAATGTAACGTCAAGTGCCCTTGCTGTCTTGAAATGCATGTGCGCAGCCACCCGCCGACTAGCCTGCGAGTCAGCCGAGACGGAAGCCGTGTGGCTGTGGGAACGTACGACTCGGTCCTTCGTGTGTATGCACTGCCCTCCCTCGAGTGTATTGCGAGCTATGTTGACCTCCAGATGGTCATCCCACACATGTAAGCGGCCCGCTGTGTTTCCGATGGCTGTGGCGTTGCACTGGTTGAGGCATACTCTTCTGGGGGTGGGAGTGCTGTTGCTGCCGTTCCTGCCGGCGCTTCAGATGTGGGGGGTTTCCGTAGTGTGTGGCTGTATGTGTGCACTCTGTCTGCTGGCCTTGCACCCCCTGCTGCTGCAGCACTTGGAGGAGCACACACGACTGCCTAGCGTACAATGTCTTCCAGATGGGCAAGACTGTTGTCCTTAAGCCGCCAACGGACGCGCCGGAGCCGCAGGTACAGCAGGAGATGCAACAAGAGCAGCAGCCACGGCAGCTTCTTTACTACTGACGACAGTGCGGTACAGAGTGAATGAGCCTCCCTTCGCGGGGGCGCTTCTTAGATTTACATTTGCTGCTTCGTTTGCACACGTAGTAGCAGGAGCAACACAATGATGGACTACCGATGCTGATTCTGTAGATAGTGCATGCAGTGCCTCCTATGGGTTACGTCGGTATCACCAGAGGGTCTTCGGAAGTCCTAAGGAGGCACATGCGTTTCCGAGCACGGCGGCATCGCTAGCCATATTACTATCCCATACGACTTGCCTCTAGCACAGGTCGTCGATCCGCTAACAAGCCTCCTGCCTAGCTGATTTATTGCTACCGAGTACGGCTTGTAAAGTCCTCAAGCTTTTAAACTGCAGGAAGCAGCACAGGACCAACAGTTCTCCCGAAAGCCTGTAGCAGCGCCCGCAACGGCAGCAGTCTTTATTGCCATGCAGGGTAGGTCGTAGCTAGGTGGGAACACGATTCTACTGGTGCTATAATGCTGTTCCTTTGGAGCCCATGAAGAGACTTGTAGCAAGGACTACGGTCCACCCTTCAGAGGAGACTGTTTTAGGGTTCTTAGACGAGCTTCCTCCCCGCCTCTCCTTGCCGTAATTACCCCACTAGGTCTGTAGCGCGGCCTAAAGGCCACGTGCGTCGTTGTCTACACTCATTGAAATAACTAGTAAGCCGAGAACTGACGGTTACTTGGTTTGGAAGTTCGTGCCTGCTACTTGTTACAGAGTCATGCTAGCTCAATACAATGGTAGCAGTATGTCGCTACTGTGCAACTGATTGTGAAAGCTTGTTCTGTGATTCGTCAGAGGGTTCAGAGGCTCATATGCACCTTAAAAATGCCTCTCCCTCGCGTACGAGGGCTCTGAGGGGTGGATCTGCCAGAAAGGGTTCGAGACTCTTTTAGAAGGCCGCATAGCAATCTGGAGTTCAGTGCTCCTCTACCTTGAGAGGAGCGTTACAGACTCCTCTAATAGGCTATCCACGGGTGGACTATTTTAGACTGAAGCCAGCAGCGAACTATATGGGACCTTGACTGTTCCTCAAAACGATCGTCATCCTTCTCCTACTCCCGCCATTCCAAATTCCCGACTTGAGGGAAGACGGACAGCTAGGAAACGCGTAGCTGCACCCTCCAGGCGCTCCAAGCATTTACAACTGTTTGAAATCAGTCTCCAGAGCACACGCGCAGCATATGTTTTTCAGTTGTGTCGAGCTCACGGTGCTCTGCAATATCGACAGACGAACAGACAAATCACTTAATTAGTTGTCTACCTATTCTTAGCTTTTTAAACTGGCACAGTTGCACATGGTTAGGTCTACCTTACCCCGCTACTTATCCCATCATATTGTAAAAAATCCTCCACTTGGTGTTCCATATCTGCACTGTGAGACCAACTGCGTGCAGGAAAGCGGAAAAGCTCCTGCACTCTCACCACTCCGTAGGCAGGCGACAGGCGGGAAACTCATGTGAGGAACGCAACTGCGTGTGCTAGAGGCCTACGTGAAGTGGAAAGGAAGAAAGGCACACATTAGCCAACAACGAACTAGGGATCAGACCATTGCAACAGCGGTGGCGCGACAACTCAGTGTAGTCAGGGGCGCTGAACTGTGTGAGCCTCTTGCCAGGACCAAACAGAGGGCCACCAGACTGTGTAAATTCAAAGCAGACGGTAGTTTAGCAGTGTCGCTGCGCTTAGCTGAGCAGTTTGTGCATGAAAATACAGTCAGTGCGTTTCGCCTAGTCGCTTTCAAAACTCCCAGAGAGGCGTTAAATGGAGAGCAAAGGCAGCAAATGTAAGAGTTGCTACAAGTAAATTTGAGCGTGGAGAACAGCTAACCAATGATATGCAGCAGCTTGTTCAAGCAATACCCGTGGATGAATGTAACTATTTGGGCATAGCATGCGCTAAAGAAGGGTAAATATCCCGGAATGCAAGGAATTCTGTACACGGCGCCTAGCGTATGAGCCAAACAAAACGGCAACTTGTCTTATAGGCCACAGAACCTGCATCTGCTCCTCCGCCAACCACTAAGGCTGGTTCTCCTCACCCCCTTTACCAGACACTCTCGTCTAGTGTGCCCTCGGCAGTTAAGAGTGCTAGAATCCAGCATCTCTACGGGCCCCTATGGATCCTGTTCCTCCACACAGGTCACCTGCCTGCGAGGCAGAGTGAGCGAATACTTTTGGGAATTTCGGAAGTGCTACGGGTAGCCATTATTCATAGTCTGTGGCATCTTCAGCTTTATAGGCATTTCATTTGGAATGAAAATACCTTAATTCGTGGGAGGACAGCAAGTGGTCGTAAGCAGCTGTTCGCAAACCCTTTCTTCTGGGCGCCTTCTAGTGCACCTCGTAGCGCCTGTCGATCCACGTGAAACGTTTCTTAAACCTTGATATACACAACCGATCGTCGCTTATCGTAATCTGTTCTTGTCTCTCCTGAACTTAAAGCATACATTCGCGTGCGATGGCTAGCTGCTCCCCAAATATCTTCGCTTTAGAGGGTGACTACTGACCCTCGACCACTGTGTTCGGGGCAGAACTCGAGATGGGCTCTTCAATTTATGCTGGGGATGAGGGCGAGCAGAGCAGGTAGGCCAGTGTACTAATCATAGACCACCAAAAAGACCGTGAGAGTGTTCCGGCCGTAGCTTGAATCTCGTTCTGACCTGAAAGACAAAGGTCATGTGCCTTGGGCAAGACAGCACTAAACAAGTGAAGTCGGAATGTACAAGCGACAGAGCCTCTGCGTTGCAATTACTGTAGGCCATTCTAAACTTGGCATTGCTTCACCCTTTTCCTTGGTCCCTATTTTGCCAACAGTAGCGCGTGCATGGGAATCAAGAGCATGAGAAACACGCGATTGCGATGGTGGCCGCAAACCATCACAGACAGAAGCCCCTTCTAGACAATAGTAAATTGCCAGGGTATCGCGAAGAATGCGTTGGCAACGGCGTTTGTGATGCTATAAATAATGTTATCACAAGGTCGTGTTGCAGAAGGCATCCATGCCAGAGCACGACTACAGGGTTATCAAGGTCCTGTAAACTCTTACGGTATACCAAAGACTGACTATGGGTATGCAGAGCAAACTGGTGCCTAGATAAATACTACTGGCATCTTTCAGACCTCACTACACCGCTTAGAATCCCTTTTTCCAATGGAAGTGCTGCTCGGTTTCACTGAAGAGATTAGAAAGATGAGCAATAATGTAGTCTTGGTGAGATCGTAGCTTGCTAAGAGAAAGACAAACCCAACACTGAATTATTAGCACTGGTTGTAGGGAAGAAATGGAGCTTGCAGTGGGGCAGTGCAAGTATCAGAAGAGTTGCAAGGAGGCCGGTAGGTTGCTGTGACAGCAGCCTCATCCGTCCAGATCAGAGCTTGTACTTTCTTTGGTAGATCAGTCAAAGGAGCAGCGGTTCAAGCAAATCAGGGATCAGAATTGTGATAGTAAGCTGCAAGCCCGTGGCAACTGTTAACGGGCTGCTTCGGGGTTTGCTTAGGGGATTTGGCGCGCGGGAGAGTGAGGCCTCATAAGTGTGCGCTGAAAAACATCCAATTTTCCCTCTCTGTTCACCTGTTCACCTTGTGTATGTGGGCGCTATCTGCGTTTCATATGCGCCTGCACCTACCGTGTATGTGCGTGTGTGGCTAAGCTTGCATTTCCACCGATCGCCCTTTCGGTGGGCAGGGCTGCTGCCTCTTTGCCCTTATGTGTGGCTTCCCTTGGTATTTAAAGTGATGTATGGGCCCTCCAAGGTGTTGCACGGTCAAGGGTGCACCATGTAGATGCAGTTGCTCGAAGAAACCGAGGGAGCTTTCAGCAGCAGTTTCGCGCGGGCACAAGGTGAGTTGGTAGTGATTCTTAATTGCGCCTCAATCAACAGCAGAAGCTCACTGTTCATGGTTTTGCTGAGATACGGACAGAGTCGCAAGAGCGCAGGAAGGGTATGTCAGGGGGCCCCCCCTCACGAGGGCTGGCTCCATGAGAACACCCGGGGTGGCAGGGGCCCCCAGAAGCAGCCACAGACTGCAAACACAGCTATCTTTCTGACTTTCGGGCCTGTTCTTTAAGTCGTCCAGACTTCTCCAGTGTGTTTGCGCCTTCAAAACTGAACCGTCGGGGGCCCCAGGGCCCCCGAGACTCTCCCACGCAGCATCGCAAACTCCATTAGAAGCGAGCCAAGGAACACAGCTACACTACACATGGCGGGATACTGGCCGCTCCTCCCGCTGCAGCTAGTGCTGCTCCTTTCCACTGGCTATTTTCAAGCGGCACTAGGGGCAGTCCTCACCCGCCGTGCAGGGCCCCCCATGGCTTTTGGTTGTGTTTCTCGGGGAATAACTCCCTCCATAGGATCTGCTATTCTTCGCGGTGTCCATCTGTGCACTTCAGCCGTTGGGCCTGCATGCCAGGGGCGTTCTGCAGCTTCGGATGATACCCCGTCGCTGCTGCAGTCTTTACAGGACGAACTACAGAAGACGGAGGCCCTCTTGCAGCCGGAGGGATGTGCTTCGGATGACTCTTCCTCTCTGCTGGCTCCGCGCTGCCAGCAGCAGCGGCAGTTGCTGCAACAGCAGCAGCAGGAGGCGATCACCAAATCTCTAGAGAGCCTCGCTGCCAAGGCTCCCGACACGCATCAGGAAGACGATCAGCTGCAGATTTTGCTGAAGAGGGCAGTGGAGGGTCCTGGGGAGGGTGGCGTTCACCTTTTTGACGTGTGTCTGAAGGGAATGGAAGGCTTTGGGGTGTCTCAGAGGGTGCACAGCAAGAACGCCCTGTTGCTCTACTGCGGCGCATGTGGGTAGTAGCGGGTGGCATGGTTTTTGTGCAGTGCTGCAAGGCCTGACCTTTCAGAGGTATTCGCCTGCTTCTGTCGACGCTTGTGTTGCTGGTGCAGCTGCTGCTAGATCGCATTCGAGAGGGACAGTTTGGGGAGGCTGGCAGCGCGGCACTGAGTCGCATTGAGGCGAGTGACAAAGCCCTTTTGAGGGCGTAGTGTGGCGCTGCAAACAAAAGAGTCGGCTCTTACTAGCCAAGCATGCGCTGCCGCTGTGTGTGTATACGTGCGACTTCGAATAGCTGCTTGTGTGCGCGTGCAGCGTGAGACCGAAGAGGCAGCGGAAAAAGAAGCATCCGATTCTGCTGCCTCGGGAATCGAAGGCCTCTCGCCGTTAAAGATAGCCGAATCTGCCCCTGAAGGGGCGCAGAGGGTTGCCGCAGCAATACGTGGTCTTCCTCCTCATCTACTGAAGCCGCGGCAGGAGCAGCCGCTACAAGAGGAGCTGCAGCAGGGATACGCGCAACAAGAGCAGCAGCAGCAGCACGCAGAAGGGCTAGACGCTCTAAGAAGCGCATTGCCTTTGAAAGGAGAGAGCGAGGCCATGAAGCGTGTTACTCAAGCAGTAGAGCAGCTGAAAAAGGTTCAGTGCTGCTTGTTTGCTGCTGCCGATTGGGAATATATATATATGTATATGTATATATATATTCATATAAATAAACCCGAATGATGCACCGGGTTGCGCGCTGTATCCTTTTAAGTGTGTTGCACTGCACCTTTTTGCAGGAGCTCAACGTTGGTTCTCTTGAGGTACAAACGATGCGGCTGCCCTCGGGATTAGAGTGAGCTACACATCTGCTGCTCCTGCCACTGCCTTGCGGGTTTCTATCGCAGCCATGGACGGTCAGAGGGTGTGATTTTTGCAGCTGTTTCAGCGCTAGTTGAAGTACGTTCCCGGGGAATGAACCCTCTGACAATTAGCATTTGCTGCTGAACTAGCGACAAAATGTGTTCTTCTGGCACTCTGTTCTGTGTGTGCCAAGAGTTCTGGATTCTGGCTGCGTTCTGTCTTGCGCTGCATCAAACACCGCTTCCTTTACCTGCACCCCTTTCCTACTGTCTCAAGCCGCTGCCCCTAGTCCTTTCCTTCAGAAGGGAGGACCATTAGTAGGGGGTCTGCTGCTCCCGGTAGCGCGGCCTAGGTGCGTCTTGTGTTTATTTTTGGCTGCTGCTGCTCTGCGGTGTTACTTGAGCGAGTAGATTGTGCTGGGCAGAGGATTCTGAGCATCTCCATCTATGGCTGCCACTGCCTGAAGGTATGTCGTCACAGACTTCAGCCCCCCTTTTTGCCTCATCTTTCCTCAGTGCATCGCAAGGAATGCAAGGCGCATTACGAACAGGGGCGGCGCTCCTCTAGTCCCTGACCTAAGTATTCCCCTTCTGGGATGTATTTTCACTTTGTGTTACCGCAGCAGCCTCAGCGACGCCTGCATCCACCGCTGTGCGCTGCGTGGTAGAGCACTGCACTCTGTGGCCGCTCTCAGCTCTGTCGTTCATATTTACGTCCCTGCGCTTCAGGGATTCCACCCACTGCGGTGGGATTTGGGATCTCACGAGGCCGCCTGCAGATCAAGGCTCTACATTCGGGGGACGTTCTTATCGACGAGGCAGTAAGGGTCACCCTAAGCTCTAAATCCCTTAAGCTCTAAATCCTAAACTCTGAATAGCTGGAAAGCGGATGCTTTCAGGAGAAAATCGTGGCGCCCCTTTTCTCTGTGTGACACGCTCATTTTGTGGATGACTCAGTTGCGGGGCCCTGTTTCCTCGACTGATTCGCACTGGACGATTCAGCGGGCGGCAAGCGGATCGCGGGTTCTCTTTGCGCTACTACCCAAGAGGCGGAAGCAGGGGCAGGGTCTGTGGGGACATCCGTTTTTGTCGGAAGGCGTGTCACCTCCTACGGGTGCACAGAATGGATTTCCACCGCCGGGTTGGGAGCCGCCCTTTTAGGGCGTCGTTCATCCAGCTGCCCTTGGCACTTCGCTTGCGAGCCCCCTAAGGGCGCATAGCGCTGTCGCTGGTGTCTCCCCCGAAATTCCGCATCCGAGCACACAGCAAGGGGGTGTGCAGGCCCCTATAGAATGCGGGGGCAGCTACGCGCGGTTTTTTTCACATGTGGTGCACAGACTGTAGCTCATGGACAAAAGGGCGAAGGTTTTGGGCCAGTGGACTGAGGGCACACGAATGTCTAGTACCACCTTCTGAAATTATTTATATGGCTCTGAAGAGGCCCTTGAAATCCGTGTAATGACGCGAAGTAGTTTGCATGCCCCTCCTGGTTGCTGCTTTGAAGTGGGCATTGTTTTTGGCTCCAGCACAGTGGAGTCACTACCGCAGTCGCAGTAGCAGGTGCTGCTGCCGCGGTCGACGCAAGAACTCACTCCCTCGAGACTTCAAATGAAAGAACTGAAGCAAAAATTGGATTTAGAGTCTAGGGTTTAGGGTGTCTTCGCACTGCGAGACACCGGAAACGGCACCGACCGCACCGGTCCAGCGGGACTACCGTTTCCCGGTTCTTCCGGAGGAGGAGCACCCGATGGTGTATGAACACATTTTTGTATAAGTCTGTTTTTGCATCAAATTTACGCATAACGGGACGGTTACTGCTGATTCGGAGCGTTTTTCATTCAAAGAGGTGCCTCGAGACTGTAGGCACTCAATCGCCAGGTCGGGCCCGCATAGAACGCAGCAGCAGCGTCCGCTGCACCTGCTGCGCCAGAAGACGAAGGGTCCCTACATGCATATATCTCGCGTTGTCTATTTTCCGCTCATGTAATCCTGTATTTATGTACAAACATCTCTCTTTGGGAGCAGCACAAGGAGCAGCGAGGACGTACGGGGCTCAACGGAAGCTAGGTCAGTCAATATAAGTGCCTTCGTTCGCGTGCAACACGGTCTTCTGGCGACTCCGACTGCGCGCCGAACGTATTTCAGCACTATTCTCACTGCGACGTCCGTCGGGAATGCACATCTCTTCACATTGCAGCCCTTGGGAGCAGTGCCGTGAGCAGCATCGGGTGTCTAGGGCCTGCGCCTGGCGACGGTGCCAAGGGATCCTTTAAGAGGGAGTAGTCATCTGCAGAGGGACGTCTCCTCGCACACCAGCAATAGCGGCTGCTCTACGACGCTCTGTGTTCTTCGCTACGCGGTACGATGGGGGCGAGTACCAGCAGTATCGGCGATACGATCCTTTTCCCAGCTCCCGAGCCTTCAGTGAGAATTTAAGACCCCAAAAGCCCCTATGATTGCCGCATGCAAAGTTTCAGACACCGTAAAGTCGGGCAGTGTGGGACGCGCTGTGTGAAAAGCCCAGCGCTGCGAATGTGTATGGTCCTGTACGTGCTCCTGTTTCAGTATGATGAGTCTCTCCCCGGCTTGCTCTGGATTGAAGATGACTTCCCCAGCCGTCCACCTATCGCGTCTGTGGCTTCTCGAGCAATTGAGTTGCAGCTTAGGAAGGATAGCCACTCCCGGGGGCGGTGTTTCCCGGCCTTCTTCGTCGCACCTCCCAACGGTGCTGGAAAATATGTACTCCTCTATTGGCATGGTGAGGCGCAGAGAATGCCCACTATTTCTCTGGTTACAGGCAGTGAGATAGCCAAGGCCGATGCGAGGCTTGCATGCCACTCCCTGGTCAGCTGCAGGGCAGAAGCTCCGTATTTCCGTATCAGCCTTTGTAGCTGGGAGGGGGGGGGGGGCGCAGGAGGGAGCTTTTGGCAGTTGGCTGTAGCTCGGACGGCTACTCGTGCCAGCTCTATGGATGGCGACATAGGGGATGCAGCCTTCCGCTCCTGTTAGTGTGCCCTGGATGGTCTATATCAATGCCCATGCCATGCACTCCTGCCTGCCTTCCATTCACAAGCCGGCTGTAAAAACATCCACCACCAACGCTTCTTCCTAGACCTCTCAGATGGAAATGCAGAATGCCTTATAGCGGGTGCCGCAGCTCTCGGGCTGTCTATGTACATGTGTCTATGCCTATACACTATATATATATGTATATGTATATATGGGTAAACTTCGTGAGAGCGGCATGGACGCCTTTCTTGTCTCTTTCAGGCAACTCTTGCGACCTAGGACACATAAAGGAGGAGTTAGAGGTGTTGTCAGGCTACCTGAACTGCCACTGCTTGGCGATAGAGTTTCCTGGCTATGGACTCGCAGCACCAGCAACTCCCCCTACGGCCTCTGCCGCGGCAGCCGCGAGAGCGAACAGGAAGTCTCGCGTCAGCATTAGTGAAACCATCAATAAGTGGAGTCGAGCAGCATTCAACTTCCTTGTGTGGATGGGAGCTCCCCCAACAAATATCATTTGTTTCGGCCGCTCTATTGGGACGGGTGAGGAAGGGGCACGCCTGCAGACTGCACAACGCACACTCAGTCCGCGATTGCCAAAAGTACTCACCCGCTTCCTTTCCGCCTTCCCCTCCCCCCTTCCCCGCGCTATTCAGACCTTCTCCTTGACACAAGGCGCTTATTCATGCTGCCTTCTTATCCCTGACGTGTGCGTCGTTGCCTGTCTGCTGATTCTGCATCCTTAGGACCGGCTGCACACCTCGCGGCTACACTCCTCGCTGAGGGTATCAAAGTTGGGGGTGTTGTCTTGCATGCCCCATATATCTCAGTGCACAAGATTGTCGCAGGTACAATTCTTGCTGTCTCTCCCCTTCTCCACAAAGTAGCATGCTTCACTACACTTTTACCGGCACGCTCTTCCTCTTGCAGAGCAAAAACACGCATGCATGCAAATGCATGCATGCATGTTTTCGCAACGCGCGGAGTCGACGTCTGTTAATCTTTGACCGCTACCTGATGCAAACGACTGCGTGGACCTCTCGGCCTATGCCAATCCGTGCTGCTCTTTGTGTTTTTTCGCCGTTGACTCCTGGACCGTCACATCACACAATCTGCTGCTTTTTCGGCGCTTCTCAGTTTTTAAAACTGTGTATCTTGCTGCTGGTTTGCCTGGAAATCAGAGTACACAGCGCTAGGTACATGGCTGATTGACGACCACTGGGATAATGCCGGATCCCTACAGCAGATGGCTCCTGACACGCCCCTTTTGATCATTCATGGAGAAGATGACGAGATCATTCCGACTGCTCATGGGCGCTGCCTCCTCGATGGCTATGAGGGCCATCACGTGAAGCACGGCTTTTTCCCTTCCGACTCCTCCCACAATGCATACTATGTTATTGATGTACGCTTAGCCCATTCAGATTTCTGCAGCTGCTCTTCTACAGGCTGAGCCGTTGCTGCTTCGCCGCCTTGTGGCACTGCTGCTGTCGGAATGCTTGCGCTTCGCTTGTGCGGCCGTTTCTGTTGCCTCTCTCTTGCTGCTCTCACCCTGAGCGGTGCTGCGGCTGCCTCGCAGGCCTGCGAGGCAGCTATGGCGGGGATAGTCTCTCCAGGCACCTCTAACTCACTGCTTGGCGGGTTGCGTAGAGCATGTTTGCATTCATGAGGAGGCCACTAGGGAGCGTCATCTTGCCAGAGGCCTCTCGGCTGCTGGCGCTGCTGCCGGAAGCTTCACCGCGAGGCATGCGGGGTGCCGTGTGCATGCGTTTTTTCTGCGCTTCGCAGGATTTGGGCAAGCCTATTCAGACCTTCTTGGCTGAGGCGGCTCGTGGAAGAAGCACGTCTGTGTTTGAAATCAGCATTCCACCCTTCATGACGGAGCGACCTAGTCTGGACGCCCGGCCGGCTGTCACAACTGCCGCTCGGGGAGCTGCCGAAGCAGCAGCTGCTGCCGCTGCTGCTGCTGATCCGCATGCAGAGGGACGCGCGGAAGCGACTACTGTATGTACACCGACTGGGGAGGCTGCCGCCGGCGTCATGACAGTGAGCGTCACAACTCACAAAACAGGAGCAGCCACAACTGCGACATCCGAGGCAGCAGGACCCCTAGCGGTCAGTTCCCCTGAGCCCTCTGGGCCTGTGACTTTCAACAGGCTGCTCGAGTGCGGTCTGCTCTCTGGCAGCACTTTAGACGAAATTGTGGGGGGAGCTATTCGAGAGGCTCAGGCTCTAGAGGGATCGAAGGGGAGTGGAGCTGCAGCCAACAAGAAGTAGCTGTTGGAGTGCTCCTTCTGTTACAGCAGCCTCTCTGCTGGATCGGTCGGCGGCATACATTTGAGCACTTGCAGTTAGCGTCAAGGCTCCTGAGGCTGTTGGTGTTTTGCCCATGCAACACCTGCTTTGTTTTGAACCATGAAGCTGCTGCGGGCCCCGTCAACTGCCCTGGCAGTGCAGCAGCGGGAAGCTGGCCGCTCGATGGTTTTTTTTTTGACTGCGACAACGGCTGGTGGTCTTGCTGTTACTTGGATGTTTAATTCCGCTGTGCGCTGCTGGCAGTCCGCGCCGCTGAAGCGAAGCAGCAGTGGACGGCATCAGCTAGTAGCTCGATGCACTATATGCTAAGCAACCTAAAAGGTAGTGGCATTTAATCTCTGTAACAGAGTGTCTATCCCGTACAGCAAGAGCTCCAAAAACAACGCCGGCGCCACTGAATGCACCAGAGCCAGTGCGCAGCGGCCATGAAATCAGAGGCGTTGGTGAGGGCCGTCGTTCCAGGCCGAGTGGGGGGTCGCCTCTGTGTCTCTTCCAATTCGAAAAAGCCTCCCCTTACCCCTCTATCGCCCCCCTCTTCCCCTTCAAGCCCCTCGCGCGCTGACCAAGCGGCGGCGGCACCATCCGCTTTGTTTGTTGCGAAGGGCAGAGAGAACGCAGCAGCAGCAACTCTGCGGCTCCAAAAGTAGCAGTCTAGACGGCGCAGCTGTGTGTGTCGGGCACGTCTTCTACAACAGCGGCTCCTAAGACGCCGCACGGCAACAAGCTAAAGACCAACGCAGGGAGCAAACAAAGGAGAGACTGCGCTTCTGCTGGTGCTCCTTCTGCTTGTGTTGCCGCTTCTAGAAAGACGCGCGCAGTCTCAAGCACGCCCACGGCCACGGTCCATACCTCCCCTCCCTGAGCAACAACGCGCAGCATGCAGCCCCACCTTTGCGTGTGCCTCCTACGATGGTGGTGCTGCGCCAGACTGCCAGAAGGCAAGCCGGTAAAAGTAAGCAAGCAGAGACAGAGAGAGAGACAGTCAGACTCCGTGAGACCTCGTGACCGCTCTTTCGGGAGCGAGCTTTTCCATATTCTCCGCCGCACAAGGGCCCTCACCGCCAAGAAATCCGCATGCACGACGCACACAACTGCTGCTGCTGCTGCTGCTGCTTAGCAAGTCAACTCACCACGCATGGAAATGCCGCGGCCTCGACCCCGACCCCGCGCAGGGGGTTTGTCGCGGGCTGTAGAGAAAGCAGAAGACAAGGCAGCAAACAGTTGCTTGAACGACGTATTCTCAAGCTGCTGAGAAGGAGGCATCGAGGGAGACAAAACGAACAGAGAAATCCGGCAGCGAATTCGGCGTTTGCAGCAAATCCGCCTCAGGAGAGGGGCGCTTGACTTGCATTGCACAACAACCCGAAGGAGAGGCTCGCACAGATGCCCGCGTGCCAAGCACGGTAGAATGCGCATGAAACAAGCATCGCTTCGCGCTCTCCAGAATTCTCAGTGCCAGCCAGTCAGACTTAGAAGGGCTTATGCTCATGAGGGAGACAATGTAACACCAACCTTGAGGCTTCTCTTCCTTCACAAGCGTCACGAGCTCCTCCTGGAGTCGCGCATACTTGACCGTGTTGCCCCTTAAAAAGCACTCGCTAACCTTCCAAAATCTCTCGCCGTCCTACAGAGGTCACATGAGCAAACACAAACAAAATACATACATATATATATACATATATGCACATACATATATACATACATGTAGAAACATATACATATAGATACATACACATATATATATATAGTTCCAGACACTATGATTCGCGCCTTGCAGTGATGCACTCCCACGTCTATGGAGCCTTTTTTGTAGAAAAAAATCCGGAAAATGCCATCAACGCGATATCCTTAGGAGACGCTGCTCCTGAATGCGGTGGCTGAAAGCCTGCAGTAATCATAGGACCCCTGGAAACTGCAGCATGGGGGTATTTACCTTAGAAGTGCATACGGAGTTCTTAAGATGGAGGTTCATGAAACCATCACACGCTGCCAACATTCCGCTGTACGTTTCCCCGTTCTTCAACTCAACCATCTGCTCCGAACACACAAGAGTCGTAAAGGTAGCAAGAAAACTCGCATCCCATGCAGCTTGGGCTCCTGCTGCCTCTGCTGTCGGTGTTGGTAGTGTTCGAGCTGGAGCTGCTCCTCATGCACTTATACTGCTGCTGCACGAGCAGAAGCAGCAGCAGCACAAGCAGCAGCAGCACAAGCAGCACCAGTACAAGCAGCAGCAGCAGCACAAGCAGCAGCAGCACAAGCAGCAGCAGCACAAGCAGCACCAGTACAAGCAGCAGCAGCAGCAGCACAATTGGCAGCAGGCGGCGCAAGACTAATTGCCGTTTTCACGCAGTCCTAGCGGCACTTGCAGCCGGATTGCTGGCGTTATTTATCGAAGAAGAAAAGAAACAGCGGCCCCTGCAGCCTCTGAATCCAGATGAGCGCAGAAAGGCCAGTAGCAGCGGCAGCGCCTAAATCCTCATTTTCCTCTCTGTCTCTCACCAGCGGACGATTTTGAGCGGCGCGAAGCAGTGCTAGTGGCAGCTGAGCAGCACCAAGCCATACAGAACAAGCAGCAGCCAGACTGCTCAAGGAAGGGTGAAAAGTTCAACTACGTCCACAACACATTCAACGCACTAGCAGCACGCGTCATCACCTAAGACCTTCAGGCCCCTGCGCAGCTCCCGCTGAAGCAAAACAAAGGCTGCGCAGGCAACTCGACACAGCCAGCAGCAGACGGCTGGAGAGGGGGAGATCCATCCAGCCCAGCAGCATTCAGCGCAGTCTCCTGCAGCGGCAGCAGCCTGCGTCTGCGAGGAGTCTTGCTGGGGGAGCCGTGCAGCGTGGAGACAAGGCCTGCCTGCCTTCACGTCCAGCCCGTCAAAAAGAGGCACAGCTTCGCGAGAACTCATCTGGTGATCCCCAACAGTGCTGCCTGACCCCACATACTGCACAACACCCCCATGCCTATGACTCCGGAGCTCAAATAGGCGAGCTGAGGGGCCGAACTGCACATTTTTGAGCGGCGCAGAAGCGTACTGGCATTTTCCAGGAGAGATAGTGGATGGATTCCTCCTAAAAAGGCCGTGCGGGAGGGCAGTTTCGGGGTTTCGCAGCAACGCAGCGCAGTGTAGGGGGAAGCTGATTGCTGAAACAGCCGTGTGCGGAAGGCGCGAAGCAGCCTTCTGAGAAAAAGAGAGCTTCCTAAGGGCCTCCTCTCTAACAGCGCAACCGAACAGCGTCCCGCCTGCCCGCCCCCAGTGGTGTCGAGGTGCCACAGCAGGAGTCGCGGAGCGGCGCGATGACAATCAATCGTAGCGACAACACCACAGTCTTACAACATTTCTCAAGTGCTTGCACCTCATATAAATATCTGCGTAGGGGGGACCGCGCTGCATGCGGTAGGTAGGACGTGCTGCCCGCCAGAAGCGAGATCGCTCTCTCTCTCTCTCTCGCTGCGGATGTAACACGCATGCCTCGCCTCACTGGGGCCCTTGCAGGGGGCCCCTCGTGCGCATACGGCTAAATGCGACTTCGATTTGAGTTTGGGAGTGCTTCCCCTTTATTCTGAGGCCTCCGAAGAAACAGATATCTCTCCGGAGAGGTCCTATGCTGCTCCTTCTGCTAGCATTTCCTGCGCAGCAGCAAGTGCTGCTGCTCTACGAGCTGGAGGAGCGAGCCACCAGGCGCAGCTTTGCCTGATGAGTTTTCTGTCTGCCGCGCTTCTGCTAACCCTGCAGTGGTGGCCTCGTTGTCGCGGGGAGACACCGCGATCCAGCAGCTCAGAAGCAGGGAATGTGAATTCGGGGTGCTCACGCTGCCGCTGCAGCTGCAATCAACTGCTTCATCCCAAGTTTGTACGCCGTGCGAGAGATTTTTCTGGTAGTATTATATGCAGCACGGCTTTTTTGTGACTTAGCGGAATGCGTGGCAGGAAATGCAACAGCGGCTTTCAGTGCAGCAGCAGCATGCCGTATGTGTGGCAGGGCTGAGAGTGGAGCTCCTTCCACTCCCCGGCTGTACAGACACCGCGTTGCAGGAATGTGAAAAAGCAGCCGCAGCGGCAAGAGCAGCGAGGGGGTTCTTACCAGAGGAAGCAGCTCTCCTTCTAGGGGGTGATGGGGGCTTAGAACTCTCAGTAGAAATCCCAGGCTGCCCTTTGTCTTTGCTGCTTGCTGTCTCGCGACAGCCACAACCGCAGCAGCAGCAGGGGGGGGCGATCTCTGGGCCTTGTGCTTGTGCAATCGGCAGGCGCAGGGGATGCCTCTTCCAGCTGCGAGACGAAGTGATCAGTCAGCGCCACTGCGTTGTAGGGGTGCAGCAGCAAGATGATCGCGACAGGCTCACGCAGCTAGCAGCGAAGCTGCTGCCGCTGCTGCTTGCTGCGCTGCAGCAGGCGAACATGCGGCTCTCTCCTGAGGCAGCCGAAATGACATCCGAAGCGAGGGGTGGCGGAAAGTCTGCGGCAAGTCTTGTGGCCAGTGCGGAAATCGTCTTCGAGTGTGCAGACACCGCAGAGGCGGCTGCCTGCGCGGCAGCTGAGGGCTTGCAGCAGCAGCTTTTGCCGCACTCAAGCGTATCCGCTCACGAAGCGATTGCAGACGCACCCGACATTGCAGCTGCAGCAGCGGCCGCTGCAGCCAGCGCTGCCTCCTGCAGCTGTGCGCGGGTGCCTGCCGCTCTGCTGCTAGGACCAGCAGCGACGGCAGCCGCCGCTAGCCAGCTAGCTGCCGTTTACGTAACAGACTGCAGCACTAACGGCTCGTGGCTGGATGCTGACGCACCGGTAGCCAAGGGACAGACGCTGCCATGGCCTTTGACCAGCGTGTTATCTCTTGCTCGCCCCTGTAAGCGTGATTTTTCTGTAGCCTGTGTTGCTGATGATGAGGTGGTGATGTGTGTGAGAGCGACCTCTTGCGGGGAGGGCGGCTCGAAGTGGTCGGGGTGGAGTGTAGGAACGCCTCCGTGTACGTGTGCTGCTGTGTTACGTCGCCTCTATCTCGTGCTGCGAACGCTGCAGCAAGTGCTGCTGCTGCTTCCTCTGCGACTCTTTGTGTGCAGTGCGAAGCGATGGGCCCCCTATTGCAGCCTTCCGCTGGCGTCTCGTTCTTCGTATATGTGCTGCATGCAAGACTCCAGGTGCTCGCTGCAAGTGCGGCAGCTCTTTCCCGCAGCAGCAACAGGAGCAGCAGCAACAGGAGCAGCTCCCTCCAGAACCGTCTGGGTGCTCCACAGGCGTGCAAGACCTTCTGAAGCCTCCGAAAGGGCAGCCTCTGGCGAAGGCAGACGTCGTGGCTGGAAAGCACGACTCTTCTAGGAGGCATCAAGCGTCTCAGTACCTCGCAGATTCAGCCAGTTCTCTTGGTTCATCAGTGTCCGCCTTAGACTCGAGTGCTGTTGCAGCTGCTGAGGATGGCAGCGCTGCTGCTGTGCGGCTCCCCCTCGCAACGCCGACAGCGGGCTGTTGTTATGCGGACGGCGGCACGGCAATCCCAAGCAGCGGAGGCTTGCATGCTGTGCAGCAGCAGCAGCAGGACGGCGTGCCTCATCTGTTGACAACACGGAGATCGACGGGGGGGAGTGGTCTCCAACCTGCCGGGGGAGGCAGCAGCAGCAGGCTGGCGTTAGAGCTGCAGCGAGCGGTTGCCGAGAAGAGACGCCTTGAAGATATGCTGCAGCAGTTGCTGCTGGAAAACGAAGAGTTGCGGACTCAGGTGCTACTCTGCTGCCACTCTGCTGCTGAAGTCGATGTTGGGTAGCTGGCAAGGGCTGCTGCTGCTGCAGTTTCTTGGCTGGTGGTGCGCCGCTTGATTGCATAGCGCCGTGCCGTTGAAGAAGGAAGCTGCGAGGAGGCACTGGGGACGAGTCTGGGGCGCTTGTTCGTGGTGGTCTGTGCAGGCATGCCAGCTGGGGAGCCTCAGGGAGCAGCTTGCAAGTGTGCAGGAGGTAGCGCGTGGTGAGGCTGGCTAGCCGCCAATCTGGGCGTGTTTTGTGCTGAGAGATGAGGGATTGCTACGCCTCGTGATGGGGGTGGCATTGTGCCGCTGCTGCTGCTGTTCTCGCTGCCCCTTATTGCCCGCTTTTCAGCCGTATGCGCTGGCAGCAACGCCACAACTTCGGCAGGCAACGCGCTGATCTCGTGGTTTGCTGTTTTTCGCAGGAGAGGTCTTGGTCTTGCAGGATGCAATTGCTGGTTTGAAGCATCGAATTGCGGATCTTGAAGCAGAGAGGGTGCGTCCTTGTCTCCCCTCTGCCCGTGCCTGCTGAGCTTTTGCCGCTGCTGTGGCCTTTGCGGCTGCTCTATGAGAACCCGTTTTCTCAACATGCAGCTTTCTAGCCGTCGTGCTTTAGCTGCGTATCCTGCTGCTGGCTGCTGCAGGATGCATTGCGGTCTGAGGTTTTAGCGGCGGCTAGCCGGCACCAGCAGCACGCTGCGTTATTGCGGCGTCTCCAGGAGGTCCACGCGACGCAGACACAAGTGAGGGGGGCCCTTACCGCATGTGTTGCTCTCTGCAGTTTAGCGCCTCTTATCACGCTTAGAGCTTCTGCTGCCCCTCGCCGCTCAGCGCCGCTCAGCGCTGCTCCTCCCCAGGGGATCGTAGACAGCTGGATTCCTAGCAGCAGCAGCAGGGCAAAGCTCTGGCTGGTTAAATGCGTGCAGGCGTTGCATGACTGTCTCGACTTCCAGCAGCAGCAGCAGCAGCTCTTGGAGAAGGCCTTCGAGCAGGCTGAAGGGCTGATAAAGCCGAATTTGCAGCAGCTGCAGGGGCAGCCGGGAGAGCAGCAGCAGTTGCAGGAGCAGCAGCAGTTGCAGGAACATAGGGGCAAGGAAGTTAAGAGTTTCACGATACGCCGCTCTCCACGACAATCGCAACGAAGTGGTGCTGCGGCTCAGGAACTGCCTGGTGATGCCGCACAGCGCAGTTCGCTGTCTCCAAATCTTTTGGAGGGTGGCCTCAAACGGCCCCGCACAGACAGCGACGATGCCGGTAGTCAAGAGGTGAGACTCTCTCAGCAGCATGCAGCTCCACGACAGGAGACTACTCCCTTGGGCCTTAAGGCCTAACGGCGGAATTTGCGTTCTCTGTACGACTATATGTAGTTGGCCGTTGGCGGGGAGGCTTTGCTGCTCGCCTCTTGCCGCCGCCTTCTCGCGCGTTGCAGCCTCGATGTGGATCCTGCCGTGTGGATCGATATGTCGGCTTTAGCCCTGCTTCCAGTGCGTTTTTCTACGGACGCTTCGCCTAGATATCTGTGCCGTAACTTGCCCTAAGGTAGCCACTTAATTAGTAGGCTTGTCCAGTATGCATGGTGCATCGCTAGGACGAGTAGAGGGCTAGTCGAGTGCGAACAGAGAAGGAGGGAAGATGCAAGGTGGCAAAGGCCCATGCACGTGGGGGAGCTGCGACAACCGCTCTTCAGGGCTTGCCTTCGGTAGCGGTGGCTGCTCTCAGAGGCGACACTCCCTTCGAGTAGTACCTATCTGCATGCACCAACTGTAGCTCAAGTGGGGAGTACAGAAAGCTGCACTGAGGGGGATCGATGCTTGGCGGGAACCGGTTGGTTGCTTTGGCGCAAGCAAAGCGAGGCTCCTTGGAATTGCGGCCACATGGAGGCTTCCCTAACAGTCGTTGTACTTCATGCCATGCCAGCTCGCTAGCCAGCGTATCACTGAGCCTGGAGAGATTCTGCAGACGCGATCAATAAGAGCTAGACAGACCATCGTCCCTGTGGATTTAGCAACTCTACAGGACAGTGTTGTCACGCGGTGCTGCAGGGGAGCTGGAGGGGCCTCCGAAGCTTTGAGGCGCACCCACCCACCCACCACCATCTACGCTACAATAGAAGCCACTACGGCCTTCCTGGAAGCATTTGATTTGCCGCCAGCACGTTCTGCAACGTATGGTATGTGCATAGGAGAGCTTCTCAGAAGACGCCGTTGTAGCCAACAAGGGCCCTTCCCGTATTTGCCCAGCCGAATTCAGCGAGGAGCACCCAGACAAGCAAATCCTGCACAGAATACTTGTAGGCCCCAAAAGCCATCTTCGCATCCCCTGAAACTGGCGATCGGACCATCTCGAGATATCCCGAGTGGGTTTCGCGAGCTGCTCCGGTGCCTCTCCTGGAAGGCATGTGTAATGCGCTTCGCGGAAGTGTGGTATGAGGAAGCAACTCAATTTTACGACTGCATGCCGAGGCACTACGTTTGACTGCAACTTCTTTATAAAGCAAATGGGGACAGCGGAATATCCGCTAGTGCTCTCGTGCATGGACCTAAATAGACCGGAAAAGGAGCTGCCTGCCTCTATACTGCCAAAAGATGCACATGGGGATGTGCAGAACTGCGGGAAGTGTTGAAGTCTTTCCATAAGCCGCATCTACAAGAAAAAAACAACGCGCGCTTAAACCCTAAGAAGCCCCTGCAACTTTACCAACAAGAGCATGCATAGTGCCGAAAAGCTGCGCTTCCAGCATTCCTTCTTCTGGAGTGTCTGGGCCTCTGAGGGATCATGTGTGCAGTGGTAAGACCACGCTATTGCGCTTGCTGCTCTGGATTCTTGGCCCCTTGCAGACGACCTCAGCCTGTGAAGGTAGCGTTTCAGATCCTTCCAGAGGCAGCTTATATCACTTCTTCTGAGGCCGCCACAAGGTGTGACCTCTAGCCCCCAAACTAGGCGAAAACTATAAACAAAATCTATGAAATGTCCCTTCCGTTCGATCTCCCTACTCACCAGCCTTGCCGCTCTCACCTCACACGGATGCTGCATTAGGGGAGAGAACTAGGACAGGTGGGGTGCGCGTGGTTGCAACTTTCGAATACTCCGAGCAGGCATTCGCACGCGGTTTTTCATGATAACTCCACGTTTATGCACGCTGCGTGCTTTCCGATGCTATGAAACTTCATATATGCCATACTTTGGGGTTACGGAGGTCTAATGCGCAGCCTAGTGTACCCGCTGTATTAAGGGACAACCCCTGCTCATTAGCAGTATCTCTATCACCAGTTGTGTTTTTGAAAGCGTTGCACACGAATCGACTGATCAGCTTGCCAGTTCGCACATGCGCCTCGCTGCAAGTCCCTGAGGATCCCCTATAGCGAAAAGCATGTATTTTTACTAAAACGTGGAGAACTAAAAGATGGCTAAAGGACTTAGCTTCAAGATTCTATAGGTGTGTCTCACCCTCTGCGCGCAAAGTGAGCCAACGAGCACGCAGGAACTGTGAGGCCGTTCCGTGAGGATGGTGGGTCAAAGAGGCGAAGATACGCACGCAAAGGGCCTACCTAAAGCATCAGCCTATTGAAGAAACCAGCCACGGAAAAGGGATATCCTGTTGCGTACCCTGGCGGCGTTGTCAACGGAATGCAACTCAGCCTGCATGGCTAGCCTGTGAGTTTGCAGCTTTTGACAGGTTGCAAGGTTGCTGGTGTCTCTAGCGCAGACGAACGCGAGCTAGCCGTTGTACTGTGCTGCTCAGCTTCCGATGTCGCCTCGACCATGCCGAGCATGCTTGTTGTTGAGGGCATCGCGGGGGGCCCCCTCCCTGGCGGTGGGGGGCCCCTCCATGATCATGGGGGCCCCCGACAGATAGGTGGCTTTTGAGGAATGCCCGCTACTGAGTGTGTGTATCCTACTTTTCCATACTTTTCCCGTATTCCTTTTATGTAAGTTTGATATAGTGGTTTGATTTTTCCGGTGTGTACGCTGATAGCTCGCGGAAAGGCTTCGTCTGTCGTGCGTGCGTGGCTGCGAGCCGTCTGCTGCAGACCAACACACGCTTCTCTTTGCAGGTGTGGCGGCGGATACAAGAAGTGTTTGCACACTGCCATCCGTTGCTGCCCGTTCAAAGGTACAAAGCAGTGTATTCTACCCTCAAGCTGCCGACGCAACCCCACCAGCACCACCATCACCAGCATGAGCGCTGTCTGGACATTTCGGCAGTAGCTTGTGGCATGGATTACGCGCCTAGAGGCGCACGGAAGCGAGCACCTCCAGCTGTTGCTGCTGAGGGGGCTGCAGCAGGCAGCACACACGATCACGCTGGTAGCAGGCGCACCGGTGACAGCTAAAAGTAGGGCAGCGGAACCGCTCTATTCGGGTGCTTTAAATGGCTCACCAGCTTCTGCCTCCCCAGGATCTTTCGTCTGCAGCTGATTTGCGCCGCAGTGGATGGGCCCCACCCCCTGCCATCGCGGGCACGTTGCAGCGGCAGCGACAGCAGCAGCAGCAGCAGCTCCTGCTGCAGCAGCGGCATCAGTCTCTCCACTGGGCACTGCGCGCAATCCTCTGGTGGTATGAGCTGCCTCTTTGTCGCCGAAGGCAGCGGGAAGAGCAGCATTTGGAGCAGCAGCAAGAACGCCAGTGCTCATGGCTCGGGTGTGCGAGGTGGAGCCGCCTATGGCTTGCCGCAGACTGTCTGCTGTTGCTGCTTGTTTCTTGTACCCTCCTTGCGGCAACCCTGTTTGGATGGTGTTGGCTAGGAGAGTATCGCTCTCTTCAGCGCTACGTTTACGAGGCGTCGGGCATACCGCTGAGAGCAAGTCCACGGGGAGTGTTGACGCTGCTCGTGATGCTGACGCTGCATGCGTTTTTTCTGCTAGGCAGCCACTTGGTGCTGCGGTCTATGGGCATGCTCCCTCAACTTGCAAACGTGCACGAGGCTTTTCTGGCGATAGTGGGGGCTGCAGCTGCTGCTGCAGGGGCCTTGGTGGCTGAGCTCTCTCCCCGGCACTATGCAGGATTCACCATGTGGCTGCAACTCTACTTGCCCCTGTTTCATGGAGCACTCACACCCGTGGCTTCCGTTGCGTTGTGCTGCATTTTGCGGCGAGCACAGTCTGTGCTGCAAGCCGCAGGCTCACAAGCTCCTACAGGAGCCTCAGATGAGGAGGTGCCTGTTGCGCAAGGCGTCCCTCTGCTGATTTGTGGGGAGGATTCTTCAGCAGAAGGCGCTGCAGCCGATGCCGATCGCGACTATAGCGGCACGTCACAGCCAGCAGCGACGGCAGCTGCAGCTGCACCTCTGCCAGTCTTCGGCTCCGTTGTTGTAAGGGAGAGGCCTCCGTCTTTGCAGATGCGGCCTTTGCCCTTCAGCAGAAGTAGCGGAGAAAACGGAGCCACCAGAGGCAGGCAGGGGCGAAGGCGGCTTTCTCTATCGTGCATCCGAGTGTGGGCAGTCATTCTCTTATCAGTGTGTCTCTGGCTGCTGCTGCTGGTGTTCCCCTTCCTTGGTCCTGGTGCGTTCGGTTCCCCTTGCGTCTTTTCCCGCCCTCCTCCGCTGAACAGCACGCGAAACCTCGCGAAAAAAATCCACAACACCAGCACGCCACACCCCACCTCACCCTCCAACCCCACCCTTATCACCACCCCTCCCGCTGAAAGCGTACTTGGTCAGGCCAGCAGCCACTCCAAGGGCCCTCACGCTGCGCCTCAAGGCGCAGCAGCAGCAGCAGCAGCACACTTTGAGGCGTTGCAGCAGCGGCAGCTCCCCCTCGACTCACACGCCGTCGCTGCACCCGTGCCAGAATCGCTTCTTCTTGCCGCCCTCGCTGAGACAGAATTGGCTAAAGTCGCGTTTGAAGCATTGCCGCCATCCACTTCTCGGAGACAGCAGTCTGCTGACGCTCACGGGGCAAACCCTCTGCCAGCAGCCGCATTGGAGGCGCAGACACACGCTGCGGCTTCGCAGGAGGAGACACCTGAAGACGCGTGCACAGGTGCACCGTGGCTTCCCCCTCGACCTCTGGTATTTGGAAGGAGGGGCACACCCTTGAGATCTCCAGAAAACACCCTGTACGCCTTACGTTTCTGCCGTGTTCGCTGCTTTGCCGAGTAGGCCTCTTGCTGCTGTTCGTTGCGAACTATGAGGCACCACTTGTCGTGGATGCCGTCTTGTCAATGTGGCCTTAGGGAGTCATTCCAAGCTGCAAAAGAGGCGGGTGCAGTCGGCTTTTCCGCCGACGTCCACATCACGGCGAACCATGTGCCGTTTTTGTTTGTAAGATGCTACGCTACCAAGGCGCCTCCGGCTATAAACAGCTGCTGCTTCGCTGCTCGCGCGGCTGCTGCATTGTTGGTCCTCGCGCTGATATCGGCTCGGGTTGCTGTACTGTGCACACAAGCAATTGGCAGCTGCTCCCCCCTTAACGACCTTCGCGATTGCTGTTAGAAGGACTAGGCTGTCCTTTGAGTCCTCTGCAGCGGATGCCGCCGCAGAAATCTCAGCGAACTGCTTGTCATGCGCTAAATGGGGGGTGTTGTTTGAATGGTGCTGCAGCGCGACAGCACCTTCTTGCGGATGACAGACGCTTCCCGTGTATTTCCAGCCGCAGCCATCTCGCCGGTGGAGCTCTTTGCGTGGATAGATATTGCTGCACTGGGTCCGGGGGCTTGGTGGCTCGAGGTGACCTTCCGTGGCGTTGCATTTGTTGCTGGTCATGTCTTTGGGCTAGCATGAATCTAAGCGCGCATTTCGCTGGCGAATTCTTCACGGAAGCCGCGTGTGGTGCTGCGTGTGGAGTGTGTGGGTGTGGGTGTGTTTTTTTCTCTGGGTTGCTGCTGCAGCGTGATATATACGGAACGGTCTCATCTATTGACCAAAAAATGCGCGATGCTATTGCTCAAGCGCGTGCGTGATTCTAGGAGCATGGCATGTGGAGAGGAGGGAAAGGGGAGGCTAGAAAGAGGATTTGCAGCCGCAGAATGAGAAGCAGGATCCCTCGTGTCAGCCTTGGCAGCCTTACGAACAGGTCGAGCAGATTGCGGCGCTGTGTCACGTGTGTGTATGTGGGTATGCCTCCGTGCGAAATGTGGCTCAGGCATCGCGCGCTTGAGCGACCTTCTGGCGCTCGCTGTTTCGTGGAAGTCGCCTATTCTGGTGTCTGTACAGTGCCCCCCTTGCTCTCTCAATGCATTCGATTGTGGAGATAGCTGTCCTCTCCTCATTTTTGACGCCGTGAAGAAGGCAAAGGCAGAGCAGTTCCTCTGGTGGCAAGGCGCAATGCGGTAAAACGCAGCTTTTGTACATGCGCTGTTGTGAGGCTGCGATTCGCGCTGCTGGTCGAACTGAGGGGAAGGAAGGGCATGGACGGTTTGTGCCAGTTATAAATGTGTGCTTGGCGATGTTTCTGCCACTTCTTCAGCCCAGTAGACTCTGCTGCCACGGAATTGCTGCCCTTCCTGCTGTATCGCGGTGGGCCTCGTTATGCATCCGAGGTTTCTTTGTATGCGCATGCGCGACACTCCTCCCGTGTGTGGCTGCAGAGATGAAGTGCGGCGGTCGTTGCCGCTAGCCAGGCTGGTGACGGAGATCGATGCCGCTTTTGAAGACGACCCCATGCACAGTTAGCCGTTTTCTAACTGCTCTTGTCCATGCCGCCGCTTTGCCACTGCTGCGTTTCTGCCGCTCGTCCGGTGTATAGTTGCCTGCCGCTTTTGCAAGTCGGCGCAATCGAAAACAGCGGGAACTTGTGGGGGGAAGGGGAGAGAAAACTGCGCATGATCTATTCGGAGGCTCCCACTCGATTTCTGCACCGACCATGTCGGTGTTTTGCCGTGACGACTGCTGTTGTGTTGCGAGCGCCACAGTGACCGACATTGTGAGTGCTCCGTGGACTGACTTAGAGGCGTCTCGTGTGCGAGCTCTCGCAGAGAAAGGTGCGCACTCGACACGAGAGAGCAGCAGCAAGAGCAGCAGCAGCAGCAGCAGCAGCCGTAGTACTAGTAATAGCAACGGGAGGAGAGGCACGAACACGCTTTCGCGCACCGTCCGTGTGATTTCAAGTGCCTGTGCGCGGGCCTGGCACTGCTCATATTGATGGGGATGCGCCATTGCTGCTTTTGTGGCTGCTAGTGCTACTGCTGCTGCTGCTGCTGCTGCAGGATACCATGTACACTGCGCGTCCGCTCCTTCCGCCTGGCAGTATTCTTACTTGTGGTGTAGCGGAGTTCACACAGTTGGCTCGGACGACCCGGGCATGCTTGCTCAGCTCTCTCGGCCTCTTTATCATATGACATGGTCTCAATACTTCGGTACGAATACACAGGCTACTGTCTCTATGCTCGGAATGTAGCATTGCGCCTGTCTTTTGTTGTCGCGGCATGCAATCCTGTCGCTGGCTTCTCCCCCTCTGCATCACCGCGACTTGGCTGGCAATACATAGAGCAGCTCGATATCTCTATGGAAACGCATGTATCTTACTGCTTCCCCTCCGGTGCATCCTTTTGTCCTCTCCTCACGCTTCCTTTATCCCATCGCAGCTCAAGTGTCGCACTGTATGCCTGTAGGGTGTGTTTTCGCGCTGCCTCTGGTGCTTGCCTTCTGTTGCACGTTGGCTCCGTATCCGCTACTGCATGCGCCGTCTCTGCCTCATGTGTGTGTATGTTTGCCTCGTTGCCCGTCCGGCCACGCTCGCTGTATGCGAATGGCTATGCGCAGCAGATTCCCGTGTCTGTTTCCAGAGAGCTTGCGGGTGTTCGCTGTGGGTGCTGTTGCTGCCGCAGTCACGATTATCGGCATTGACGTTATTTGCGCTGCCGTTGTCGTGGGGTTCATGCTTTGGCTTCTGTGCTGTTGGCGGTCTCGTTTCGCCGTAACACCGGAGTAATGTTGTAGCGGGCTAAAATACACTTGGATACTTTCTACCTCATATTTAACAACACGTTGGCAAAGTATAAGCTGGTGGGTTTGTAGTATCTCTTATCTATTGCGCAATCCTGAAAGCTCGGTACAATAAGACGCAGTCCTTTTTGCGTGTACGCTAAACGCATTGTGCAACTATCTCTGAATGGACAAAGCACTCTAGAGGGTGCATCTATTAGCACTATCTGTCCCTCTTTCCTCATGTAGGGACCTCTGACGAGCGCAGGTAGGGGAAGGCGGGAACAGTTTTTGTAAAGCAATTTTTAACTTCCTGTTTAGCTGGTATTGAGCTTGGAGTTTAGTGTATCTACGGCGACCTTGGATGAAATCCTGCACTTGCAACTATCGCATTGTTGGATGCAGCTTCTCCCGCCCATCCACCGGCTATGGATGGAGCGGGATGTACGGTTTCCCTACGATAGTTGCCGCTGAGGTCATATGGTAACAGTCATCTGGTTTGCTAAGGTAAAAGTCTTCTTTTAAATGGTAGTGGCATTAGACGGTGGCACAAGGCCCTTTAGGGCACTGGAGGCTGGCCTGCAAGCCTATATGAACTTAGTAGCCGTTCAGCTGATAGAGAGGCGTGATTTGCCAGCCTGTAGTACGTGCATGGATGTGTAGATGAGGTAAAGCCGGCCGGAAAGCTATGATGTCCGCAAGGATTTATTTGAAGTTTTCACCAGCCTTTGTACTTTCAAGCAAAGAGAAACAAGTACTCTCTGTAATATTAATCCGAAATAATGCCCAGCACAATTCAAGCTTTAAAACACGTCCTGACTCATCGGGTCATGCCGAGACTAGCAAAACGGCAACCTTTGGAACTATACAGCAGGTTGAAGAGATAAAAAAACTAATAGGGGAATTTATCAATTTATTGGCATAGCGGTAAACGTTTTTTGGCTTGCAAAAGCCACAGCTTAGGCGAGCACTTACTTTCTCAGTGGCTAAGTCTACCTGAATTGACATGTCAGGTTGAGCAGTAAAGCAGCAATTAAACAAGTGACCCATGGGACTTCCGCAAACGATGGACAACCTGAGGTTTCAGGAACAAATAGGTGCGAATCCTGTGTCTCTGGTTGAGAAGGGAGCGCCATATCAGGATTAATAAGCTTTGAGTGTCTGGGCTGTATTCGGCCCTATCCCTACACTCTGTGGTGAGTAAGGACGAAAGCCAGAGGGAACTCGCACACCTAAGCAGTCTCCAAACCGCCTCCCAGCAACGTCATTTTTATGTGGAAGATTAGGTCGTATAATCCGAAACTGCAAGTGCATGCCAAGCCAAGAACTTGATCAACGGAACTGGCTCCAGCGATTGCAGACTGCAGGGAAACGCAATTCCTCTCATTAAGCTGCTGTGCAGGGACAGCAGCTACAGAAAATCGCGCCGAAATTAGAGATCCGCCGAAGGCTCATTTTACGTCAACCCTAATCCACATGAATTAGATTAGAATTGCTGGCGCTATCTGATACTGGATGTGAAACGGAGCTGCTACGCGAGGAAATGGCACAAATTTGCAGTCTGCTTGTTCACTCGAGCGCAGTCTCCAAGCTCAAGCTTTGCTGACGGGAGGCAAAACTCAAGAAGAAAAACGAAACCGTGTCAGGTTAATGCTACTTTCAATCTGAATCGGGCTCTATCCGCACAGTTTGTGCCTTCTATGTTGGACTGGTGCAGCAGGAAGTAGTCCTAGGTGTCCCATCGATGACCCAATGGAAGGCGCACATGCGTACAGAGCAACACGTGTGGAGGTTTGTGTGCCGGGAAGCGCTACGAGATATCAGCGTTTGGTCTCTTCAATAACGCGAATATCATTTGCAGTCAGCGAGGTAGAGCCGCTTTCTCAACAAGCGGTGGCAGAGCCTTCCTGCGAGGGGCCTAGCAGCGCAATAAGAGAAGAGGGTTCTAACGATGCATCCCGTCTTGTGACCTTGCTGCTGGTTCTTTACAGAAAGTCGCAGCTGGCATTTTAGCCGAGAAATGGGCGGAATGAGCATAAAAGAAAAAAGCATTCTCGGATGTGCTTAGTGACGAGCGGCCACCAGGTGGCCTACCTGCTAGTCGTTTAGTGCACCATAGTGAGCTATTGTTGACTCGGCCCCAGGCTGTGTTCCAATGTTAACAAGCCAGCATAGCATAAAGAAGAGATTGAGGTGTACGGGGCTTATTCTCTGAAAACGGCGAAGTGCAGAAATCGACCTAGGCTTTGGGCATAATCTGGTGTTGGCCCCGAAAACCGACGGAAGGTGGAGTGTTTGCGTTTCGCTTTGGGCCCTTGAACAAGATCAGTGTGAAGGAATTCCCGGTAGCTCACGTTTGCTAATTACGTGACCAGCTTTGTAGCAATTACACGGATTAACAGTTTACTCGACACGTGCCTCCACGGACGCCTTATCACCAATTCCCAGTCCCCCTAATAAAGCCACAAAACGGAGTTTCACCCTTGCTTTTGCGGAGTCGGGGTACAGCTGTTTGCTCATTGAACATGCGATTGCCTCAGCTGGACTGCAGACACTAGTAAAGCGGCATTTTATGACCATATCAATGGGTTTAGATGGCTATCTCCATGGACAATGTTTCAGTACTTGATCGAAGCGTCTAATTACCTACAGCGACTACGGCATGCACTTCGGCTGATGCACAAGTGCCATTTATAATGTGGAGGCTGGCAAGGGATTGCTTACATAGAAATCATTTTGCTTCTGGGTTTCCGATTCGTGGCTGCAGGCATTCAGCCAGATACGGCGAAAATTGAAGCAAGGAAGGCGTGGCCTTTGCCTTAGTGCATGGGAATGGGTATTGCAAAGTAATCATGTATTACATCTTATTAATAGCATTATATAACTGAATTTGCTCTACAGGCTGCTTCTTTTCCAGGGACAGGGGAGGTTGATGCCGCACCAAGGACGCTTACCCACCTCCTTACAACTCCTAGCGTATTGTGCTGCCCTATGATGAGCGCACCTTCTCCCTAGCAGCCGCTGCTAGTGACGTAGTAAAAAGTGTTGTTGCTCTACAACAGACTAAGGCTTCTCCGACATACTGAGTTATTTCTTGTTATTCTCATTGGTTCGCGGACACCGAACAGTTTTATCCAATGCTGTGACAGGGACTCAATGCGATGTAGTGGGGCGTCAGGAAATGCAGGCACTAATCAAGTGACGGCAGTTTACTGTTCAGCTTTACCAGAAATATCTAATGTGTCCAATGAAAGGTCTTGACTAAACTTTGATGGCCAGGTTTACTAGCCTCGGAACCTCCTGCAATACGCCATCAGCGACATTATTATGGGCATCACATATCTGATCGCCGACGCGCCCCCGCGATGCAATAGTGGATCAGTACTGTGCAGTGCAACTGCTCTTGCCTGTGATGACTCACAACGTATTTCGAAATTGCGCGTAGCGTGTGCCTTCACACCCATGCATCCGCCAGTTTTGTCAGAATGAAGAATGGCAATGGAGTGAAGCGCTACCACAATGAGGATGTTTTAAGGTAGTGAAAAACAAAGCAGGGACTCCGTCGCTTGTAATCTCCAAATTCACTCCGCTGAGCGGTTTTGTGCAAAGCACATGATCAGGTCCTTTGGCCCCATAGTAGGGACCAAAATACAATGCGAAAGCTCACGGTCCTTCTGGTAGCTTAGCTTGCTTCCCGCGGCGGAGGACTATGCAAGTGGTCAACAGCTGAAGCTCCGCAAGTCTGTTAGAGTCGGGCGGTTTCGAAGCCCCTCGGTTGCTTAAAGGACGTGAACTGTTGTGACTACCGACTTTCTTGTTAGACTGCTGGGGGTCAGGGGTGAGGCTAGCAGTTACCCCGTTGTTGACAGACCAAATTGTGGCCATTTCACACCTTCCTCAAACTTTAAAGCAGCTCAGGAATCGTTCAACATTATAAAGCTCATGTTTGGAAGCGTCATGAAGTTTTCAAGAGCATCATACCGGAAAGATATTCGAGGGTCGTTAGTGCGTTATGCTATGCCTTTATTTCCCGCCTAGCCACTGATCATAACATGACCGCTGCGAGCCGCCATGAGGCAGATGGGTAAGCCAAGCACAGTAACCATACTCATTTGCTGCAGGCGGGGCTCTAGGCCGGCGATAATTCGATTGATGAGCTTGATCTTGTTCTTTTTGCTGAGTCGAATCATAACACACCATTGCACTTGTCCGCCCGGTGCTCTCCCGCATTCCTGGTCTACACTTAGGGGCCCCCTCCAATGCTGGTCTCACTTTGATCGTCAGCAGATACCCTTTTAAAAAAAACGCTCAGAAACCAGCAGGTTGGTGTATGCAAATGTATGCGCAAAGTTCAAGGGAGACACGCACACAGTTGTGATAAACGGCGGTCGTCTCTGTATCTTGAGGCTGTAGACACGCTCCTGATGGATCGTTAGACTTTACAAAGTGCAGCAGATGTTGTCCAAACGAACTACTTTACGTCAGGTGGCCAGGACTGCATGTGGTCTTCCAACGAATTGATGATCTTTCTTTGTCTGCCGATTGCCCTAGAACCTGAAGGTGCCACTGAACTATCAACGTTGGCGTTTTAGAACAGCTTTAAGGGTCTTCCAGCTATTCGGGGGCTTGGTCGCGCAGGAAAGTGAACTATTCAGGGAGGGTCCAGAGAAAGCAGCACGCATGCTGGATCCCAAGACTATTGAGCGCCAAGGAGGCAGGAGACAGAGCCTTTTTTGAAATAGACCGGAAAACGTCACCTCAGTGGCTGACATTCACCAGTCTACTTGCGAGGTTTTTTGCTTGCAGGGAAGTTCGTAACTCCGTTTTGCTGGACGCCAGTATCCATGCACTCTTTACTTCGCCCCCTTTCGTAGATCTTCCTCCCCGGCATATGCTTTGCTTCAGAGAGATACCTTCATTTATAGGATATACGTGTAGAGTTGCCGTTAAGTATTGTTACGGTGATCCCTACACTCCTATTCATGCGCATACACTCGCAGGCATCTTGTCCCTGCCATCTTCCTTAAGCCTCTTTTGGGGGCTTTGCAAGCGACTACGCTTAATCCACAGGCTATAACTGCATGCAGACCTTGTTTCATGAGGCGTAGAGGCAATGGCAACCGAGTGTGCATTTTGGCTCCCTTGACGCATTTTACTTTTCTTCCAAATTTTCAAAGCAGGAGGCTCTCAAAACTTTAGCGCGTCAACGGAATGCGAGGTATTGCGCCTCCGCGGTCGTATTTTTTGTTCCTTCGTTCGTTGTTGGCTGGTGTGTGTGCCTTCCCTTTCTTGGATTTCACTGAAGCGGTCAACACACGTTTGTTTGTCTCAATTGCATGTTTCGTGTTTCCACCTGCCTGGAGGGTGGAAATACGAGCACAAACTCTTACTGGGTCTTGCGAGCATTTGGTATCGACGTAGAGGTACGGAACACAAAGGCACACTCTTGAAACGGGGGTGGGGGCCAGAGGGACGCTGGTACGCTGTGCCAAGCTGAGCAACACGTCAACTTTTCACTATCCTAATTCTATCAAATCACGAATCAGGAAAGAATTGGACAACTGATTAGCTTGTTCCTATATCTCAGCTTTTACCCAATAGAATTATCTCGATACAGCAAGAGAGAACGTTGTTTGCGTGTGTGGTCGATTGCTGTGAACAAGTAGCTCTGAAGTCTCGAAGTAACTAGAGGGCGTAGCTGCTTGCACTGTAGCCGTCCCTTTCTCTTTGCATTGAAAAGGCCTGAGGCGAGCGAACAGGGGGATATACGGCTTTCGGAACACTATTAAATAACTTCCAATTTGGTTTGTATTGAGTTTGAAACTGATTGTCTCCCTACAGACACGTTAGATGGAGCGTTAAACTGTAATAATGGCTCTACTGTTCGTCTTGTCAGCATCCGCAGAAGCAGCAGTAAAAAGAGCG